GTGTGGCAGAGGCGACAGAGATGACAAGTGTGAGAATACGGACGAGGGTCCAGGCCCTCTAATCGTCAGATCTGTTAGACCTGCTCACCTTGTCACTGGATGGCTTAATTTTTAACAGAACCCGAGTGGTAAGATTCTGTGTGAATTGTACATAAGTAACAAATACCAGACTACGAAGGTTATATAATATAAAATCAACAATTTAATTATAGAAGAACAAAATAACAAATACAAATAATAGTACAACAAAACATAAAACATCTGTCTAACTTAAGACTAGGAAGGTTCTTATATATAAGTTGATAATTTGATTATAATTAACAATAATACTAGCAAATAATATAAATACAGTAGACCCCCCTATAACGCTTAGATACGTTCCACGCTAACCGAAAATTACGTTGTAGGAATGACTAAATACATGAGCCAATCGCAGCCCGATAGGTAGGAACTTTACGGACTAAGGCTGTTTGAAAGGTTTTCTTCTATAAAATTAACCGATTCTAGACTAATTCCACTCAACATTTCCAAAATACGTATAATTTTTTGGGAATAATCTGTATAAACTATGCTATAAACAAAAAATTATAGGATTACTTACCGAGTGTTTACCGTTCGACTACGCCCGTTGTTCAAAGCTTGTCTTCGTCGCGGAACAGCACACAAAACGGCGGCCGCGATATCTGATAAATAATTTATCGCAGAAAGATAACTTGACCTTTGGAGACATCATCAATATAAATAATTTTTATGGCCGTTGAATAAGAAGTGTTTCTTTCACAAGAAATGTATAAAATTAGTGCTGTATTAGACTTACGGTACCTAATTTACATACTGTGCAGACGATAATAAACTCAACTTACTAGCCTAAAATCTCCGTAGCGTGTTGCCAGGCGGCAGAAAGCATATATATAATTATAATAAAGTTACAATAAATTAAGTTAATATATAATTATATATACAGTACCTAAAAAAATTTATATATAATACTAAACAGACGATAGCAAACTCAATTTAGCCGCTCCGTAGCGTGGCGCAGGGTCGGAGGTAAGTAGTTCGGCTGCTCATCCACTATTGGTCCAGACTCTATCAATCTTCTCGCGAAACGACGTTATAGGAGGTACGTTATACGAAAGTTTCTACAATTTTTTCGCTACGTTATAGGAACGTACGTTATACAAGGGTCGACTGTACAGATGTAAAACATGAAAAATACATGACTTATATCCTATCGCGAGACTAGGATCTATCCTTTCTACTGAGAGAGAGAGATTTACAATAATCATATTATTTAGTTGTTCATGTTGAAGATAGCTTGTTGTTCTCTTCCTGTAGAGTGGAGTCGGGACAGGTTCGGTAGTTAGAGTCGGAGCGCTCACTATGGCAATTCTGAACGAACTCCCTATGGCAGGTCTGGGGGAACTGCCCCGAGTACCTGAAAACCTGCCTTTTTATCCACATTATCTACACCATCATGATTATCTGAAATGATGTGTCATTAGACCAGATGGGGTGCAAAATTCTAAGATACGAGGCGTGGAGGAAGGATACAAAACATCCTCATTTCTGGTTAAACTGCTGAGTAATCTAGCAGTTTTGCAGGATGTAAAAGTTTTATATCCTTATTAGGTTATGTTTTATTAATTATTCCAAATTTTATCATTTTTAAATATTTCTAAGTGAAATTAAAGTAAATTATTTAATTAAGTTTGTTTAGAGTGAAAAATTATGTAACTCTTTTTAAGAGTACTTCCGGAGTATCACACAAGTATCTTACAAAAAAACCCGTTTATTTTAGCTTAAAAATAAACTTATACTAAAAAACAAATATTTTCTAAACACAATCGACTGGTCAGAAGTCGATGGCTCTTCTAGTTGTTTGTTGTATAGGTGGCTCTGGGGCANTTTATAACAATGTCTGAAATGTTATTAATTTAATACACTTAAGTACTTAATGAAGACTAAACGTAACAAAAAAATCGCATCTAAAATAGTACAGTAGAAGCCGTTTTTCCGGTTAAGACTTGATCCTCTTCCTCTCCCCACGCGGGGGAATTTCGAAAAATCCCTTTTTAGTGTGCATTCCCATGGTATACCCTACTAAAACGCAGATAAAAACAATCGCATCTAAAATAGTACAGTAGAAGCTGTTTTTCCGGTTAAGACTTAATCCTCTCCCTCTCCCCCCGCGGGGGAATTTCGAAAAATCCCTTCTTAGTGAGCGTTTTCATGACGTAACCTAACTGTGTACCAAATTTCACCTCTTTAGGTTCAGAGGTTTGCTCTGGGCGATGATGAATCAGTGAGTGAATGAGTCAGTCAGGACAAGCAATTTTATATATATAGATTAATTAATTATTTTATTAAATATAAATTACCAACAAATCGAAAACATAATTATTGTTATCAAATCATAAATATAAGTCTCGAAATTAATAAATAAAAAAGATTTTAAATCATAATAAACAATAGCTGAATAAGATGTATAAAGCGAATTAGGACTGGTGTATGCGAATGAATTTATTTTCAATGCTTTATTATAAAATATGTAACACTAAAATTATTTTTGTTTTTTATTTATTTTTAGGTACGTAGAAATATTTACATTACAGTTTATTTAAGTTTTTTCCAGTTTTTCCTTCAATTTATCTATACCAATGCACATTTCTCCCATTAAGGACAGGAATAAATTTTTACGATTGCAAACGATGTACTCTCGATTTAATTTTTGATATTTTATAATGTGACACCAAGAAAGTTGACATTGGAATTCGTCAATAAATTGTTCGTCAAGTTTTTGATAACGAGAAACGTAATTCCAGTTTTTATATTCTTGTATTTGGCTTAAAGTTGTGGTTTTTAATTGTTGGTATTTTAAAACTTTTTATATCAAAATTATTTCTGGAGAGGATAATAAAATCATCCGAAAGAGGTTGGAATTCAGCGACTTTATTCCAATCAAAATGAGCGGAAAACTTGTTATGAATCGTTCATCTAATGGCTGATATTGGCAATTTAAATCCCATTTTGCATATTTAATATGTTGCATAATAAATACCATTAGAAATCTGTAATTTTTCCACATGTATTCCCAGTTTAAATTATCTGCGAATTCCAAAATAAACGCGTTACATAAATCGTGTCGTTTACTGATTGTATCCCAATAAATATAATTTTTAAATTGACGAATAGTTTGTTTTTCTAGGGGTGAAGACAAGAAACTTGTCCAGTCAATGGGGGTTGTGCTTTGTCTACAAAAAAGACAAACATTGTTTTTAAATATTATTTGAATTTTTACTTGAGTACATATACTAAATAATATTTGAGTACATTATAATATGAGTACATAATACTTGAGTAAAGTCAATACTCTAGATAGCAATCAGAAACAATAAAAGTTTAGCAAAAGGTTTTCTAAGAGTTTCTCTATATCATCAAAACAGATTAATAAAAAACAGCTATGATTTGGAAAATTATCAGAAGGAAATAAAGCCTATTCTCTCCACCAATCCAAAAGAAAGACAGAACTTCAATCACCTTATGGTGTCACTGAAGCCCAAACTAATAAACGTTATCATGGACCTCAACAAGGTATCAATAAACTGGAGCTCTATTAAGGCTGACAACTATATCCCTATAATCAGATGCCAAGACATATATCTAAGGATTGTTCTGAGTGCCAACGATGTAGCCATTGCTCGAAAAAACATACATACAAAGAATGCGACCAACTAAATTTAGAACCTACGTGTATTAATTTCTATAAGGAAAATAAGTCCCTGCCAGAACACAAAAAACTGAAAACAGATCATAAAACCTTTTGTGATCCGTGACTCTGTTAAAAAAAAAATACAAGATTAATCAAATTTTAGCTTCTCTTTACGAAAAACCTGTTGTTCCTCTTTTAATTTCCACACTCTTCTGTTCATTCTGACTAGCATAATGGACCCAACACAATAAAAGGTGAAAAATAATCTCTGAATCCTGCAGATCAACCTGCCGAGATCCCAAGTGGCTACCTCTGAATCGCTTTATACTTCAATGAAATTTGACATTGATATCATTGCCTTCCAGGAGCCATATCTGGTCAATAACTAGATTGTTTTGTTCGACAACTCACGGATTATTACTCCTCTGAATGTCTCCCCAAATAAACTANTTGGTCCAGACTCTATCAATCTTCTCGCGAAACGACGTTATAGGAGGTACGTTATACGAAAGTTTCTACAATTTTTTCGCTACGTTATAGGAACGTATGTTATAGGGGGGTCGACTGTATTTTAAACAGATTTTAGTTTTATCCTTTGGTGCAGCAACTTAATGAGATCTGCAGACTCTTTTAAACATCAGAAAATGCTTAAAAGTCTATATATACATACAAACTCATATATTTAATAAATAATAAAAATTCTGTTGTAAATGCATCAAATTGTGTTGAAGGTTTGCTTTCACCCATAACCTGTTTTCCAATATTTGAACCCTTAAATGATTCAAAAATCTATATACATGTAAATGTGAGTTAGTAATGTATAGATTAATTGACAGACAATTTGTATTTGGCCACATTGGCTCCTTTATTTGTTTTGCAATTTTACAACTTAGGTGTGTTTTACAGTATTTATATGTTCTACCAGAAGAAGGGAAATGATAGAGGTTCTTAATAAGGTATGGCAGCATAGCCTCATTTAGGAGAACAAAAATAAAAAGAATGTATAGAGAGTATTTCTTGTGATATAGATGCACTACTGGTTGTTAAAGATGGTCATTCAAAATACTAATTTTTAACTTGTATTAAACTTTTACTAGGATTCAGTATGGTACTCTATAGTTCTGTATTTCAGGTTTTTAAGTGGTTAGAAATTGTATATCCCAGAGATGGCCACATAAGTGAGATTTTACTGTACTTGAATAAAATTATTATTAAAATAGCAGATTATGGATTATTCAGATTTTAAATACAAATATGTAACATAAATAAATAAATTTTGTTGGCATTTTAGGAAGAAACAGAGGAAGAGGAGGAGGAAGCTCAGTTGAAGCCTTCGCCAGATGCAGATACATTTTTTCTCTTCACCAAACCGTCTCGAGCAACGTTAGGTAAGACAAGCAAAATTAAATTACTTTGTTTTTTTTTCTTTTTTACATTAAGTTCAAAATTTACAAATTACATAAATTGCACATCAAAATGAAATAAAGAACTATAGTAAAACTCAATTAAGAAGTTTAATTCCAAAACTTTCAATTTTTTCCTATAAGAGATGTATAAAGTTTCCCATTTAAGAAAATTTCTCCTGTACGTAAGAAAAAAATTTTACACATTCAATTGCATTTGAAAAAAATCAAAATAATTGCATTGGGAAATGCACAGTTTTGCATATCAGTTTGCATGTGTCTTTGGGCTACTTTAAACATGGATTTTACAATTTTCTTATGCAGTTATCTGCAACAAGTAGCAGGTTCTAAAAACACTATTACTACATGGGTTTACTGTAAGTCTTAAATCAAGTTTAGTACATGGACTATTTGTAGATCTGAGGCTTTGTGGGAATCACAATATGGATGAAGCAACTATATTAGACAAATACAATATAATCTCTCTGATTCACACTTGTCAGTCTGAAATGTTCAGTAATCCAACACTCCACAGGGTGGCACATGTATAAAATTTTTGTGTCGATGTATGTGACCAAGAGAGACTGATGTACACTACGTGTATACTGTTGGTTGCTAGTTGTTTATGGGGTTGGCAAAACGGTCACAGTTGTGATTAATACAATAAACTAACCCCTGAATCAAGTGCATTTTTTTTTGTAACTTGGTATGTACATTACATACTATACTGTAATCTGGTAATCCACTTGCCAGTCCAATATATGTTAGATTAGAGAGACAGCTGATAAATATATATTGTATAAGCCTAATTTACTGTTATGTAGTAGAACATTGTTTTAAAAAAATATGGAGTATTGAATGAAAAGTTATTTTATTTTCATTTCTGCTTAAGTTTTTTTTTAAATTGGTCCCACAAAAAACTTTCTGAGTGAATTTTACTATGTTATGTTTAGTTATAATCTATACCTTCTTTATGAAATGCACTTGTTTCAAAGTTACCTATTGTAATTTAATTTCACATATAATATTTGAATAACAAATTACAGTAAAACTAATCTAACTCAAATGTCTTTTACTTGAAGAAAACGAAGCGCACTGTACGTCTCAATGGAGTAGCATAGGTCAAAAAACTTCTGTTACAGATGTTTATTACAAAAAACTAATTCAAAACTTATTTACAGTAAGAATAAGTCTGTTGTTCATAATAATCTGAATTTTATTTTTAATCAGTGCACATTCATTTGTATAAAGAAATGCAGGAATTTTTTTAAAGATCAAACTGAATTCTGTTTGAATTTTGCATAAATTAATAGAATCAGTTTCTTTAACTTTTCTTCAAACAAAATTACAATTTAATGTTTTATAGATCAGTGGTTCTCAATATTTCTTGTGTCATGGATCCCTAGAGGTCTCTAATGGTTGAGGAAGCACAGATATAGATGACAAAGGAATAAGTTTCTGAAGCTTTACCATGGCCATTATGTGAGAAACCTGCCTAAAGTGTCATTGTAAAGCAGCAACCTTTTCTACAGTATTTCTCCCTCATCAGAACTCTTATGCAATGGCACCTCTCCCAGCATACACATAAGTGTTTATTACTCTGTATTTAGTATTTATTTTCTTTTATTACTAATTAAGTGATACTGGTAAGGTTTGATTGAAAATATGAAGCAAAAATACAGGTGCATTACTACAAATATAGATATACCTACCTACAGATTTTGCACAAATAAAATTTGTAATGTCTGTACAACCAGGAGTTTATTCCTTCTGAATAAAGTTATAATAATATAAATTAAAAAAATGTTTTGTAGATTTTCATAAACTGTAAACATCAATGTGAAATTTCAGTTTATTTTGAATTGCACAAATGATCAAAGTGTGTTTCTAATTCTGTCAATCCCACATGCAGTCATTCTCCACATTAAGTCAATTTCTGTACGTTGTTTTAATTGCTGCCATTACTGAACATATAACTTTGCACAGGTAGCTCATTGGAAATTGAAAGAGCACATTTTGTAATTTCTGTTTAAGTGCTTTGAACTGAAAGTCAAAAGTCTATAAGTGAAATTTCCCTTGACCAATCATGCTTAATTCTGGAATATCACTCACTGATACGAAGAATGGATCTTGAATCCAATCTTGGGTGTGGCTGTCAATCCAAGGAAAATAGTCTTCAAACTGGTTTTTCAGTGCAGACAGGTGCACCACTACTCTTTTTACAACAGAATTTATAGTAGAGGTATTGTCAGCTTCTTGTGCTATGATTTTTGTAAGCAATGGAAACATTTTAATAACCCCACAGTAAATGCAAGTTTTCTGAAAATTAACTTCTTCACAAAACCTTCAATTTTTGTCCTGCATAGCCAGAATATTTGAGTTCTTTTCTTTCAGTGACATGTTCAAGCTGTTTAGTTTTTCAAAAATGTATACTAGATAGGCCAGTGTTGCTAAAAATTTGACATTACACAAATGTTCTGCAATTTCATTTTTCCATGTGACAGTCACCTGACTTCACTATGAAAAAGTAGATGCTTATGTTCAGCCATTATACCATTTCTTCACAAAGTTCAGTAAAGCAATGAGCCTGTATTGACTGAGATTTGACATAATTAGCAATTTTAACAGCATTCATATGAACACCATATATATTTGACTGCATTTTTTGGCAGCCAAAACTTTTCGATGTATCATACAATGCATCCATTTTATTGTCAGAGCTACAGCTTTCACTGGAGTTACAAGACCACTGTTCTTCTTTGTCATAGCTGCCATACCATTGGTGCATAAACCTATTCAATCAATTTCAGTCAAGCCGTCGGCACATACAAATTCATTAAGTAAGCAAATATGTTTTCACCTGAAGTTGTTGGAATCAGTTTACAAAATGTAATTCTCTTATATTTCCTTTTGTGGCATATCTTGGGAAACAAATAAGCTGAGCCTGTGATGAAATATAGGTTGATTCAAAGAGCTGCAATGCAAATATTTGACTTTTTTACATGTTGAATTAACTATGTTTTTAAATTCATTGTCAAGTCATCGATTTTCTGTGGAATTGTATTATTTGACAGTGGAATAGTTCATAATGCCTTTGCAACTGTCACTCCGTTCATAATGCAACACATTTCTACAGCTGCCAGAAGCAACAAATTCTCGACAATCGTGTGGGATTTCTTATATTTAGCAATTTTTATATCCACTACATAAGAAGCTTTTGACACTTTGTACAATATCACGGTTTAACATTACAGTTTTCTGTCATTTCAATTCCTTTTTTTTTTTTTTTTTCAAACAAAAAATCTCACAATCCTTGTATACATAATCTTCACATAGTGTTTTCCCATGTCTTTAAAGCTTCGTAGGTCTAAGACTGTCATTGGTGAGAACTTAAAAACAAATGACATGCTGGGGCTGTTGAATGCCAAATTTGCTATGAAAACAAGAAAATTCGAACTTGATATAACTTTCGTCGTATTGCTTGCACTTTTTCTTTTTTTTATCAGTGACTATACTTATGTTGTCAGTAGTAATCCTGCTACTATTACTAGTTCCACTTTGGTCTGTAGATTTTGCGTTATTCACATTTCTCTTCAAATATCAGTGTATTCTAAATGTCAAGATGATTGGTTTACTTTAGTTAGTGGATTAATTAAGTAGAATTTATGGCGACGGTCCTAAGGAACATTATTTGTGTGACAATAGAAAACAAATTAGAGTGATGGAAAAACATGTGCATGTGGAAGGTTATCACATTGTGTTTGGAGGAGAGTCCATTTTTATCCACATACACTCGCTCGTCAGTCATACACTGAATAGTATTGCGCACATTGGCTCATACCTCACCAGTTGGAAATTGCTGTTCTATAGTATTTACAGTATAAGTAATATTTATTGTTGTGGCTTGTGCCACAATAAGTACTAATGATATTGGCTTCAATCTAAACTGCTGGTCATCATTGTGATGAATAGCTTCTTGTCAAGTTTTCAAATAGTTATTTTCGAGCAAATATTATCTATAAAAATGTGTATCTTTTTGTATGTTTTTAAAATTCATATGTGTAATAGATAAAATATGGATATTTTTTAATATATACAGGTGTGTAATTAAATAAATCATACTTTAAAAGAGGTTTATTTAGTTACACTTGACTTTTGGATTTAGATGTATAACTAGTTTCAAGTTCTGCTGTATACCTAATTTGGTTAACAATATTATCATTTAACTGCATTATATTTTGTAAATAATTATCTTACTTTATGAGAGTCAATATTCTTTCCTCGCAGTAAAAAGAATGTCAACTGTCATCTGTATTTTCAGCCAGTTTATCTTTTCTTCATTAGTATTTTTTCTTATGCGTTTTTGAGTTGTGTTTTGTAGATTTTTTGTTGGAACGAAATTCTCTTGTTTCATTTTGTGTAAAATAAATTTATTATTTTGCTACGTTGTTTTATAACATAAATATAATCTTGTGGTGTGTACAAGAAATTTTTTTTAATGCCATTCCTGTAATACGAAAATCTGCAGTGTTTGGAAGATATGAATGCCTGGAGAGTAAAAACTTATGATCAGTTACTATGGTGTTATTTTCCAAAGACTGAACAACTCTCAACCACATCAATGCCATTTGTATATTTCGATTTTGCTCAGTACACATATCACTGTATGCAATAACATGACTTTGAATCGTTAAATTTTGTAAATGTTTTAGACAGCAAGAAGCTATTTCTACAATCCCTTGGAAGCAATAGTTTCGTCCCACACATACATACTAACTTCATTGTCGTGGAAATTTGTAACCCCTCATTTAAAAGATACATATTTCACTTATAATATGCAATTGAAACAGATAACTTTTGGATAGGGTAAGGCTTTTTGTAAATCAAAAGAAAAGGCAAAATATTTATCGGGATTTTTTGATGCCAGAATTTTATCTTCTTGTAATGCTTTTCTTTCTAATTCAGCATTTTTCAAGTGAACACCGTGGCTTTGTACAAGAGTCACTTTTTCTTCATCATTATTTGTTGTCTGAATTTTTGTGTTGAAGAAATTGCATCTTGAAAGGTATCTTTACATGGCAGATGGAAATGTAACTTGAAATTTCATTTAAAGATATTCATTAACTGAACTTAAGTTATTTTCCTTACATTTTTCTTATGTTTAATTCAGGATTCAAAAACATTCGTTCTGGATTTTGTAGTCGAGTATAATGACTTTCAAATGCCAGAAAACTTTTTGTTTGTTTTATCACTATATTTGGCACTAGTTCACTAGTTCTTCTGCAAGAGCAATCCATTTGTCCACGCGTGTCTTTCGGAATAACGTGCGCTTTTAAGACACAATCAATTCATCCAGTAGATATATTAAAAGTATTAATGAAAAACTTCTTACATACTAAAATGTTTCCACGAGAAGTGACCAAATAAAATTTATAAGCATAAGTCCTCAAAGTGCCCGAATAATTTCTTCGTTTTCTTCTATTTACAGTTTTACGATGAACATTACAATAGAGAGATATATTTTGCTTATTAAAATTATCTATATTCCAGAATTGATCAAAAATTGTTTTACATTCTGCTTGATTAACATGTTCTATACATTTCTTCGAGCAGTTACAATTTTTAGATTCAAATTTTTTTGCTGGAATAAATTTACCTTTTCTCATATAATTCTCTTGTCCAGCATTTTACTTAATTCTGCTTATTTATTGCATATATTTTCCTTTAATTTCTTTTGCAGAATCAAAGTTCTGACTAACAATATCCTCATCTGATGAAGATTCTACCTCTGTAATTCTTCTCTTTTTATGTTTCAGTGAAGATCTTATTGCCGTTCCTTCCCAACTCCGTTTCGTTGAGTTGTTTTCTTGTGTTTCACGACTCGGTGTAATGAATCAGGTTCATTGTAAAGCACACCTCCACACTCAAATTGAATATATTTACAGTTTATTTACAGTAGTAAAAAGTACAAGTTAGAAAACATAGTATATGTACAAGATGACCATGCGTGGTGAATTCACGTGCCAGGTTTGCGTCTGGGAACTAATAATCTTTGGAGAGACCTCAGTCAGCTTGTGGAGTCGGCTCAACTGCGCGGTCGGTCCGGTCTCAGCACTAACCCGTCTCTGAGAAGATCAACAGAGGAGAACACTCTCTCTTAACGCTCAGCGGGCTTCCCAAGTGCCTGAGACAACCGTGTATCAGTCTCTTGCCCTTCTCTCCTTGACTCTCGTTCGCCCCGCAATTTAAGGGATTTTGGAACGGGAACTTCCGACCAATCACAACCCTTTTTTATGCCCGAACAGCTTACACTCAGGTCCGCCGTCATCCGACGAGAGTGAAGCTTACACAAACGTCCGCCACTTGTTTACGTTCGTTTGCTTACCATTACCGTCTGACTGCAGGTGGGTCCAATTAACAAAGCTGGCGCTTCCTTTGTTTACCCTTGTTTACAAGTCAATACTTTACAAGTGGTATTACCCGACCGCACGTGGGTCCAATTGACAAGATCGCGCCTCTTTTGTCCCCACTCTGCTAAAAGGTCACTGCTTTACAGTTTCATTAAATGTGTTTTTTTTTTTAGTGGAATTGTCTTCATCCTCCAATTCTAAGATTCTTCTTTTGTTTACATTCATGGGTTTTATTTCTGTGTGAATTTATTTATAATTAAATAAAATAAATATTTTTATAATCAATTCCTATGCAGTTTCTTATATTGGCCAATTTTAAATTGAACAAAGCATTAGCATTTTTTAAGATATTAAATATTAACTAGTTATAAATAAAAACCTTACAGTAAATTAATTACAAATTATGTGATATTTTTTTTTATGGACTTACACCACTTTCAAAATAAATGGTCCAATTTATCTTAATGTCATTGGTGTTCAACTTGAATATATGAATATAGGTACATAAAAATACTTTCTATAGTTGAAGTTTTTGATCTTTTCTGGTGATAGAATGCAGATGGCATAATGCTCTGGAGACCGTCGGGTTTCAATCCCGGTCAAACTTTCATGAGCCTCGTCTCTTGCCAGTGTCCATTATTTCGTTTGCTGTTTACTCTAATTTTTAAAGTGTGGATATGAATAATACATATTTTCATTTTGAATATGAATTGCAACAGTTATTGAATTAAGTAAATTATTATTTAATATTTAAGAATTATTAAATGAATTTAAGAATTTATTTATATTTCTTTGTAACAATTCCTCAAAATTACATTTTTTTTAATTAATTAATTAATTTATTTATTATTCAGACTATTATATATTTATATGTTGTAGAACTTCCTGCTGGAAGAGATGTTCAGTTTTTGGTGGGATTTACAAATAAAGGTGAAAAGGAATTTGTTTTGGAGACGATGGATGCCTCTTTCAGATATTCGATGGACTTCAGTTTCTACATTCAAAATGTTAGTATAGAATTTGTCTTATTTTATTATTTTAGTTGCTATACTACATGGTTTTCAACCGGGGTGCCATGCTGTCACTTGGCGGCATTTCAAAACGATGCTTACCAGTGCCGTAACACTTATGTGTATTACTAAAAGTACAAAGAGCACAACTCTTCATTCATAAAGAAGTAGAGGTGCTCCATGTAAGAAAAATTACCAGGTTGGGGTGCATCATTAGAAAATAGGTTGAAAAAAAATTTCTTAACTATTTTATAATAATATACAGTAGTATGTAACTTGAGCTCTTTGTGTGTCACAGATTTGGTATCATAAAATGAGATTCTATATACATATTTAATTGAATGGAAAATGCTTTAATGAAGCATAAAAATTTTAAACAAAAATAAATAAATGCTCTAGCACTTCCAAGCTTGGCTTAATGTTTCTTCTGAGGTATGTGATAGAAAAATGTTAGTACTATAGTCTATTCCATTTTGTTGCTGGGAAATGTTTTCATCCTGGTTTTCATAACATTATAAAATAACAATGTATAGAAAATCTTTCAGTTAACTCAAATATTTTAATCTGTATTCTTTATCTGTACATGTTTTATCAATGCTGTTCTTACTATTCAATTTACTAAAAGCACGGAAAAAATAAAATATTCACGTATGATATGGCATGATATTGATTTTTCAAAGTAAAGGAAAATAAAACATTTCAGTTTTAATTTTTTTTACTTTAAAAATAGCCAAAGACAACATTTGACGTCAAACTTTTTTATTCTTATTCAGTTAAAGCAAATATAANTATAAAATATGAAATATATTTATTTATATTTTACGCAGGCCGCAAAAAATATTACCGCGGGTTTCCCATCCCTGTTAAGGAGTCTCATTCTTGCCCTCTTCGTTTTCTTCAGAACGTAATAACTTTGCAAAAACGTAAAGTTCGTTTGCATGCATTCCTTGGTACTCTACATATACTCTACATATACTGTAGCTCGGAGGCAAAAGGGCAGCGAGATTGAGGCTTTCTCCACTGCAGCAGACCGAATCGAGAGGGAGCTTCCGGTGCAAAACAATGCGTTTGAAGAGCTGTTTATAGGCCATTATCGAATCATTTGTTCAATCCGTTGTTCACGCGTTGGAGCAAAGATACATGGAATGCCGTTTTGGGGTAGCGTGCGAAGGCTTCCGGTGCTTCCTAAGATGGCGTTGGGACATTAAGTATTAAACGGGATCGGTCGAACGATAAATTTGCAATTTCTAACAGTTTATTGCCACGCAAGTGAAATGTGTTAAGATTTTTTAAGGATAGAAGCAGAAATTAGAGTATGCAAGAAGGCTTGGAAGTATATTCGGGAGATAATTATATTACGGAAGAAACAACTCTTAACAGATCCATTTGGTGAAATTCTTATGGATCCAGAACCAGTTCGGGAATTGTTTGTACAGGGCAAACAACGGTAGCTGCGAAATATATGCAGAATCCAACCGAAGAAATTTGGCAAAGTAATCGAGGTGAAAACCAGAAATATTTTAACAGATATTTAATCTTTGTAGAAAAGGGCTGGCAGAATTACTATTTAATAAAAAGTAAAATACATCTGGATATGAGTCCAATTTTGCTTGCCACGTCCAATCACCAGGAACAACTATTTCCATTGCAGAGACAACCTTTAGAGGCTATGCCTCTGCACAAATATGTAAAACAGTTTAAAATGTCCACAGGTGACAATCCCAACACAGTTAAAAATATAATATTTCTTTGTAGAAAAGCCCTATGTATTCTGCCAGCCCTTTTCTACAAAGAAATATGTTTTTAGTTGTGTTGAGATTGTCACCTGTGAACATTTTAAACTGTTTTACATATTTGTGCTGAGGCATAGCCTCTAAAGAAAGGTTGTCTCTGCAATGGATAATAGTTGTTCCTGGTGATTGGACGTGGCAAGCAAAATTGGACTCGTATCCAGATGTATTTTACTTTTTATTTAAAAAATATTTAATCGTTGCAGCGCGTTCTCGATAATACAATTAAACTGGATAAAATGGTTTCTACGAGATTAATTGGCATATCGATTACGTATACCAGCGTTATCGGCATGTTCATTGATTGAGAGTACAAATTGGTTGGTATTTGCTGCAATTTTATACGACGTACGGATGATAACTTGCCTGTCAAATCATTAATTATCGCCAGTGGCCAGTGCACGTTCGGTAGGCCTACTGGCTTACGGAAACGAAACTTGTATTCACGTCGCCTTTCCATTGTCGATACTCCAAAAACCAACTTGGGGATGATGTTGGAAGTAATGAAATGAGCAATCCGCTTCGTCATTCCTGTCCTAATTAATTAGGAAGGGGGAATATTTGGGATCGCTCTCCGGATTCGATAGTAGTAGGCCTATTTGAGTTTTTTTCTTGAGTAAAAATGAAATTCGAGAACAATGTTTTCAAATTATTCTACGTTATAATTATGAAATTCTGGTGACTGGAATGAATTTTAAGCCTGCTGTATTGGGATTTATATTTAAAACTACACAGAAATTGAAATTTCTTCTTCCTTTGTCGACACGCACCGAGGTACAGACATTAAACACTTAGAATATACCGTGTCAAGAATCCTGTTCTCTCGTCAATAATTAAGACGAAAATGCTCAAATAATTACTAGAACAGTAGAAACTTTTCCTACTGGTTACTGTATTGCTCGGTGTTCTCGAATGGAAACATTGGAAGGTGGGCGTTAGTAGTGTGTAATATGTAATTTAGGAAGAATTGGCAATTGTGGCGCGAGAAAAGGAAACGAAAATTGATCTGAGAAAGTATCTATTTTAATTGGCACTCGTTAAATATGCATTTGTGGGATGAGAATGCCAGTTAACCTAGGCCCAATTAATGGAAATTTAATTACTCGCAATAAAATAGTAACTTGAAATTAAAAGGATGTAACGTTTGGAAGCCTTCGTCGGCCTGGCGCCAGATTTCGTTAACGATAAAATAACTGCCATTTACACCAAGTCCCTCGTTTGCTCGTAGAACTTTCGGTTTCTTTTAATTAAGTTCTCGTCAAAGAAATTTAATATTTTGACACGCCTACCGACAAAGTACTATGCAACTTACTCGGTCAATTATACATGCCAACAGTTATTAATTTAGAGTTATTGAAAACAGTTAACGCCGGGCACAACCAAATTGATGTGGCCAGACATCCGAACCATCGAGAGAGCGCGTTACGGGGCCCCGAAATCGAGATTTATCGTTTGCGTATCACGATGCAAATGGACAAATTTAGGATTAACTGGTGTTTTGCAAAATTAACTTCCCAGGTATGCAAATAAGCCGTAGACACGTAATTTTTCACTCGCGCTAATCAACATAGGAGGCTTGCTTAAACCAAAATGTACGGTACATCGGAACATTTTGTACAGGTGCAGCAAATAAATGGACAAATCAGGAGGAGCAAAACGATGGTGTCGTTTCTATTGTCTGAAACTGGTTTCCCGGTCAGACGTCACAAAAGGAAGTGTTAGTTAGCTGACATTCGACCGATAGCTCTCGTACAATACACTATACGGATGTTATGGATTTTGATGACGTGTTGCCCCACATCGGCGATTATGGATTCTATCAGAAACTAATGTTTTGCATTCTGGCCGTACCGGCCAACATACCCGCTGCCTTTTCTGTCTTCAATATCGTGTTCATATCGGCCGTACCCGATCACTGGTGCCGAGTGCCGGAACTCGAAGAGCAAAACTTAAGTTTGCAGTTTATCAAAAACGTCAGCATTCCACTAGAGCTGAAGGACGGAAAATGGAAACACAGTAAATGTAAGATGTACGACATCAACTATACGCAATTAATCGAAGATATTGTTAACGGATACACCCCGATTAAGGAAGATTGGGCAGAAACCGATTGTAAATATGGATGGAACTACGATAGATCTTTGTACCATCGTACCTTACCTACAGAGGTAAGTTATTAACAAATTTTAAAGCGTTAAAATTTAGTGATGTAGACTTAAGAAACTTTAAAGGTTAATTCGGTTACACCAAAAGAGTTCGAAATTAGAAGGAAACCGTATTTTAAAAAAGCACTAGGGACAATTTGGACTCGTAAATTTCCGTTAAGAAGTGGGCATTGCGTAGAATATCCGGTTTAATTTAGATACTCGAAAATTCATTCGACTGCGAGTAGTTGTTTAGATGGCATTTTTCTTATTTATGAGGCTATAGACTTCTTTAATACAGAAAGCAACGATATAGATACAATGTAGGTTAATGGACAAAAGAGGTTTTCTGTGATGCAACACGTCGATTTTCAAGGACGCAAACACAATCGAACAATGATTACTTCTTACTCGTAAGAATGTCTCAGATTAATCACTAAACTGTGTCATTTAGAAATAACAATTTAAGTATAAATTAATTTATAAATGCAAAAATCGAGATAATTGTACTTCAAAAAATCGATAGTTGTCCATCGTGACATTGCAAATATGCAAATTAATTAGTTGTTGAAGTTAATACAAAAGGGATGTAATTTACAATTAGGGAAAAAGATTTTTCTATGCAAAAAGAAACGAACCGATCTCGCTTTTGTTCATTATATTCATTCAGAACATTAGTTTCCTGATTAGACCGGGCTTCACAGGCTTTGCAGGAAATTTAATTAACTTGTATCCTCCGCATTAGTTGGCATTAAATTGTCTTTGTGTCTAAATCATTCCTAATTACGGTATTTTAAATGATCGCACATGTTTAAAGATGAAGACTTACGACCTCGCTCCTCGACTCGACTTTTTAATGATTTCTTTTAAATATATCGTCTTAACGTAATCAATTTTAATGCAATTCGTGTTATTTTATAAACATTTTAAGGCATATTTAAATTTTCTGCAATTCCTTCGTCGATATCGAGCATTGCAATATCCAAACTTTAAAGTTTAGACTTTAAAATTTTGAAAACAGAATTCAGTTTAATAGACAATTGAATGCCTATTGCATAAATGCCATCGATTACCTCGATACCTCTTTAGTTTTCGAGTTATTTATTGGCAGTTAGAGTTGACGATGCCAGCAAGAAAAGACCAAAATGCTGCCTCCCCTCAGCATGTCCTCTGTAACAGATTGGTCAGCTGCGAGAGTAAAGATAGCGTTAAGAATGTATTCCAAACAGAAATGGTCTGTAGCATAAAAGAAATATATTACAGGCCGATTCTGGAAGCCACAATAACATCTGTTTATAAAATGGCAATATATTTTATTAATATATATATATATAATAACAAAGATGTAGAGATATGAAAACATTTTNATTTTAATTCATAAACTTTATACTAGTATATTTTAAAACAAGCCTATTTAAAACATCATGAAAACGTTTTTGTAACCGAAGCAGAAATAAATTATAAGAAAGGTATTCACACTACCGAAGAAGAAGAAAAAAAAAGAAAAGATACGAAAAGATTTTTGCAAACTTGATAAATATTTTTTGAAGGAAAGAAATTGTCATTGCAATTTTAATTCATAAACTTTATACATGTATAATTTAAAACATGATAAAAACAATTTTATAACCGAAGCGGAAATAATTTATAAGAAAGGCTTTAAAAGTAAACAGTTCTGACAAAACTGATTCTTAAATATCAAGTACTGTACAACATTGTTAATTGTTATATACAATTAAACAATAACCTTGACATCTGACCCACTTTTGATAGGGAAGGGAGTTTTTGTTTACAGAGTAATAAGACACTTAGTGCCTTCTTGTCATTAACAACGGGCAGTGGGGCTAACAGAAGCAACTGCCTTTAGTCACTCTGCTATAAGGGACGTGCGTGAGGAGCCAGCTTTTTCTGGTCTTTCTTTTTTTGCACGCATCGTCAACTTTAACTGCCAATATCTCGAAAATTGACGGGTGTTGTGGTAATTAAGGGCATTTTTAGAATAGGCATTCAATTCTCTATTAAGTACAACTGGTCTGGTTTCAAAGTTTGGAGTCGCGGTACAATTCGTTTCTTTGTTAGTACTTTGAGCGCTAAACTTGGCATTTACATATAAAAGTTTTGCTGTACTTTAACCCTGTCTAAATACGGGGACTAAACCTTGATGTTTCCGTACGAGACCTAAACTTATATATGTAGGCCTACATATATAAGTTTAGCGCCTGTAAGTAAGTACCAAAAGACTAACGTTAGTGTTTTAAGCATATGCAAACACGAACATCAACTGTACTGAAACCATGAGGTGATGATGATTTCTACCCAGATTTTAATTTCGTTAATTTTTCTTTCTATCGTGCCAAAGAATATCGATCGTAATCGAACCCAGATCAGGTTAATTAATGAAATTAACAAATTTAAACACCGCAACGATGCAATTTTCTTTCCGTTTTTGTATTTAAAAATATTGAAATCATTTTTAAATTTTTTGAAATACAGTTTACTGGGATATTTATGCCTTTTTAACGATTTCTATACGTCTAAATTTAATTTAACAAATTGATTTTGTATTAAATAAAGTTCGATTTTGCATCACTAGATGGACATAGTATGCGATTACCGATGGATGACGTCGTTCGCCAATTCCATGTTTTACGTGGGAAGTTTGGGAGGAAGTCTAACTTTCGGTTACCTCGGTGACAAGTAAGTGATTATCCCTTTAATTAAAATGACGATGATCTTATTATTCACAGAAGTATTTATTCTTGGAAATAAACGAATAAAATCGAGTCTATAAATAATGTAAACAAATCATCCGCACGCGAGGAACAAATATAAAAATGATGCTTACCCCCCAAAAAATTGAGGTGGTGGAAAGATCACGTGAATCCAAGTAGCCAGTCCGGAAACAATTTTCCTCATTCAGAAGTCAAAAAAAGTTATTCCATTCCAATTTAGTTCTACGACGTAAACAATTCTTTACATTTTCTCCATAACGAATGACACCTTGGAAATGGATACAATTAATTGCAAAAAGTACGATTGGGCATTAAACTTGCCCATTAATGGGTAATTTTTGTTGGCTTTCTTAAAATAACGAGTTAACGTTTAAATATTTTTCGTATACTCAGGATTCTTCGCAGTTTTTGATGGCCCGATAGGACTGGATTGCCGGACTCGAACCCGAATCCTCGAATGGTTTGACCTGTTTTTCAGTTTATATTGCGAGATAATACGATGGTCTTTTCGACATACTAAAAGCAGTGCTTGCTTGTTCGGCCCGATTGTTAAGGATGATAAATCAACGTCAAGCGAATAAAAGGTTTTCCAGCAACAAGACACGCTTCGTTAACGGTTCTCGCTCGTACGAACGTATGGCAATCGATGGCATCAATCGTTACTTATGCAATTTTAAATGTTTCTTTCTGTGGTAACTTAGAAACATTACGATTGATCAACACGAACTTGATTGTAATGCAGTATTTCGACGGGTGGTTTCTCGATTATTTTATTTTAAAATGAGGTACTCTATTCAAATACGTTTGAGGCTCGTGAAAATTAATTAATATATCCTGGAAATTAATACAATAACGTGTGGTTGTCGTTCGTTATGACTAATTAACTAACTATATTCAATTATACGGTATAAATTCTTGTTAAGGAAAATTACAAAATGAAATATATCCGTAAGTTTTCTAGTAAAATACAAAATGGGGTTTATTTATTCGAATATGCTGTATTTATATCACCACAGTTCATATTAAATTGTATATACGCAGTATATTAAATAGAATATAACAGACGTCGTGAGAAAGAAGTTTAATAAGGGAATTTTTTTTTTTTGTTACTCCCCTATTTATGCTACTGGAAAGCGTGTGCTTATCGCTCGATTTCTGGGTTCGTACGTTCGGCCCAACAATGCATATAATAAATACATTTTGAAGTGCAGAATTACAAATTCAAATATAAACTTAATAAAGCATCAGAGTGACGAGAAGCGAGCGTTATATAATGCAAATAGACTTTCATACTTGAGCACCACAAAATGTACGACGACAACAGAGTACTTTCGGGCATTTGATGGCAAATCTACATAAAAAGACAAAAATAATTGGTTCCCGTAAGGATTAGGATTTCAGAGAATGTTCGAAACAGTTTCGATATTTTCATCATTATTCATGAACTTCGAATGCAATTTGCTATTTGCAAATTTATACATATATAATTGTTACAATTGTGAAGATGCTACTAAATTCAATTCATTTCATACAGAAACTTAAGTATGTACCGTCTTTCACGCTTTAACAGAAAGGACTACTGCAGATTTTATGCTTCCATTAACAAAAAATCGGCCATGTCAACGTAAAATGCTTGATATTTCGGCAATATCAAGAATCGCGCAGAAATTTTACATTAATTTATTACAATTAAAATGAGTGGTAAAGAAATTTATCATTATTTATACTTAAATTTATAACAAAATCGATTTTGTTACAGATACGGAAGACGACCGGCCTTCTTTGCCATGTTAATCATTCATTTAATATTCGGAATTCTAGCGTGTTTTCCCCTCAATTACACTTTCTACATAGTCTACAGATTCATGATTGGCACCTGCTACCCTTCTTTGTTTCAACTTCCCTTCATCATGGGTAAGCATTAATGGAAATTGAAAGTTCTCCTTCTGTTCCGGTAATACAGTCTTCCTTGTTTATCAGTTTTAGAACTGATCAGCCCCGGCAAAAGAGCTCAAAGCGGGATGGTACTGTGCATTATTTTCTCTCTAGCGATGGTTTTGTTAGCTGGTCTAGCATACTCTGTCAAAGATTGGTTTTATTTATCCGTCATCTGCTCGTTCCCTTTCGTTTCGTTGCTTTCGTACTGGTGGTAAGTTGTTTAATTCGATAGAACGTGCGCCGTGTTCACGACGCAAATGCCTAACTTTAACTTATAATTCTTGAAATTTTTCAGGTTTCTGCCCGAATCTCCGAGATGGCTGCTGAGTTGCAACAGAATCAAAGAAGCCGAAGTAATCGTTCAGAAGATATCAAAGGCCAACAAGAAAAATATTGCACCGAATTTTCTGAAATCCTTTATGGTTAGTTGCAGTTTGTAGGTACGATGACTTTGGGTAGGAAGATTAAAAAGAGGGTTATTTCAGGAGAAGAAAGGGGTGTTGGTAGAAGACAAGACACCCGATCCTTCCATATTCGATCTATTAAGGTACCCAAATATTCGCAAGAAATTTTTAATCGTCAGTTTCGGGTGGATCGTCAATTCCATCGTGTACACGGGCCTGTCTTTGGGAGCCACTCTCCTAGGAGTCAACGATTATTTGGGCTTTGCAATTTCGGGATTAGTAGAGATACCTGGACTTCTGATATCTTGGTTCGCAATGGAGCGATTAGGAAGATGTTGGGTCATTTGCTTAACCATGGTTATTGGTGGTTTAGCGTGCATGGGTACAGCTTTCGTACCAACAGGTGAGATCTTTTTCTGAATTCCTGTTTTGGAGGGGTTCGGCTTAACTAATTATAGCCTTAACGACCATTTTAAATGTGTGCATTATAAATCACTTGGCAGTTTTTTTGCACGGTTAGTAATAGAAATGACTTGGTGTATTAATCGAAATGTACTGTACATTACGTAAGAAACAAGGTGCTAAACATATTATACTCTTTCAAATGCAAAATTCTTGAAAATCAGAGAAAATGTCGAGCCAAATTTTCTTTCGTTCGAAATTATTCTTTCTACGAAGTGTGCAATCAGCTAGGAATTTACGCGTTACAACGCGCAAGAAATTTGAAAAATTAGCCTAAAGTAATGATTGGATCTTAATTTGGTCCGACTCGCGAAGGGGTTGCGTAGCGCGTAAGAGGGCGAGGAATACATATTACATAATTCAGTGCAGAAAAGGTAAAATACTAAATCGCTCGAGGTTTCGAGGCTCGTTGATCTTTTATGAATATTATTTTTGGAATATAAATTAAAATTACGTTTATTAAAGCCACATTATTATTTAAGACACATTAAGAGTAAAATACGTGGAAGAATTACTTTTTATACGAGTTGAAAATCCGAGATTTGTTGATCTTTCAATAGAAAATGATGCCGGACAAGTGCCATCTTCTACCGAAGAAAATGCGCTTCTCATCCATTAAGCTTATCTTTTGTTAAAAATAGTGATTTTAATGAAAAATCGATGGTCGACAAGTGCCGCGTAACGAATTGTAATTAGTTACGGCATTTGTTACGTTGTGGCGCGTCGGAATTAAAATTCGGTAAAACCTCCATTTAACGGACGTCCCTCGCCCCCGAATTAGTTCGTTAAATCGAGGTTTTACTTCGTTTATTTTCTCCTCGGAAAGTAACTCGTGTTATTCTCTATCTTGTAATTTTTGTTTGTCAATTAGCATTTCCTGAAGATGCGCTATTGTACTTGTATCGTGTCAAGGATAAAATAGTTTTTCCGTTGGAGGAGTAAAATTGCTTTTTTATAGTAGTGTGTAAAGATTCGAAATTTATTAATGTCTTACACTTTGAAACTTATATTTACTCACTGTATTATAAATATAGACGTCGGATGAATCCCTAAATCAACTAAGTATCTATCACTGTCTGCTGGGTAATTTGTGTTTAAAATGTGAAACATTTTTGTGGGTTTGCAATATTACAAATTGAAGTTTTCTATCATCAAATCGCGTATCTAAAGTAAAAATTTGTAAATTCTAATTAGAATTTATGGCGAGTCAACGAGTTTTAAAAATAAATGGCAAAACTTACTTCGTACAAGTATCTAGTGCACTTGTCTCTATGACAATTCATAAGCCATTGCTTTCTTCCCCGTTTGTCGCCTGTAAACCCGAGCGTTCCGAAACTTTTCTCGTTCCTCGAAGAGTAATTGGTAGCTGAACGTAACGTCATTGAAGCATCACTTATAAGTCTGCTACTAGCGCCATTTTGGATTCAATATGGCGGATAGGTCAACTTGTCTGTATCAAATAACTGGCGTCTAATTACAGAACGATTCCGTAGCCGTAGTTCTGGTTTTTATCACGAGATGCCGCTAGTGTCGTGACGTTCACATGGTGTATACCTCGTACTGTACGGTACGCTTGAAATTTTTTTGTCGATATTTTAGCTTTAAAACTATACTTTATCATCGATAATTGGTTGCGAAGTATTCCCGTTACGTGGCTAAGAAATCGTTATGGAAAAAATTGCGTTGGATATATTAGAAAATACTCGTTGTTATTGCGATAAGCACTTCCCAAAAGGAAATCTTACTAACAAACGTGTAGGTTTAGAACATAAGCAAATCCTGGTGGAGGAAAAGTCTATATTCTGTCGGGAGACTTCATGTTTTGAAGGATTTTCTACTTTCTTTCGATTACGTGAACATTTGGAGAAGTACTGTACATGGATTTGCCTGCGAAATTCAGAAGCTGGAATTCAAAACTATGAAGGGTAAGTAAATTCTATTCTGAAATTTTAAAAATGCTGTATTTAATTAATATATCTTAAAATAATTGTTTTCATGAATATTAACAGCTTATTCAGTTGTAAATAAAAATATGTACTGTATTTGACAGATTTCTACGAATGGAAAGCCACAGATAAGTTGAGAACCAACTAAAGTTAACTGTGTCTAGGGTTTCTCATTTCCCGGTCTTTTGCTTGTACCGGGATAGAATTAATTATTTTTAAGGTATACAAAATATCTTGAAATCAAATGATATAATTATTTTCCATTTTTTAAAGTAATTTTAAAGTTCTGTAACCTCCAAAATCATATTAATAATGCTGTGTAAGGTCTATAAGCCTATAATAAAAATTACCTTTGAATAACGTAGAAATTTTCACAAATAGAAAAAAATTAATTAAAGTTTGCTGGAAACTGCATACAACAACAACAAAAAAAATGGTTTAAAATTAAAAAAAATGAATTTCTAATTTAGAAGGTAATTTTCGTTTTTAAATAAAATATTATACAAAATATTGCAAACTTTTATAAGATTTTAAAAAGCAAAGATGGTCAATACTCCGATTACTCACTCTAATTCTTATTTTAGTAATGAAAAGTCTTGCCACCGAGAATGCCCTTTCCGATTCAATTGATGAGATTGGAATAGTGTTTAATGCGTTTAAGAGAAGACAGATATGTGTTTTTTCACCCGTAGCCTGGAAGATTTCGAGTTCGTTTTCGAGATTGTAGTACTTCTTTCGCTCTATAGTATTCTTGATTTGTCTACCTTGGCTGCTTTAATAGCGGCATCAAGCTTAGAGCTCGATAATTCGGCAATTCATTTGGCTTTAATAATCAGGTTTATGAAGAAAAACTTCATACTTACAGACTTTGTACTCGTTTGTATCCTTGCCCAATTTGCACAATCTGGCGTCAGGCATTTATTGAAGCTACCGGGCGTGGTTAAAAATTAAGACAGCGTAAGCGCAATTATTCCAGATATTACAGGTTCCGACAAGTAAAGAATTTTTATAGTCCTGCCACAAATAAGCTATATATTGATTATTGACCATTTGTGACACGCTATAACCAGCAAAAATTTAAAAAAAAACTAATAGGTAGGTTTAAAATTAATAAATACAAATGTATTCTGACAGTGAATGAGTTAATTATGCTTTCTATTGCAAAATTCCTCAACCTTAACGCAAAATAAGAAAAAAAGTGAATTTTTAAGAAATTTGCGGGATTTCCCGGGTTAAAAAAACAACCGGAATCCCGTTTGAGAAACCCTAACTGTGTCGTACTGTCTAAAATTCATGGAATTTATAAATTCTACTGGTGCGGCTGTGGCACACGCGATCGTGACTACGCTCGATTCAGAAATGTACTTACAAAAGGAAAACATTCAATAACAGATTGTGCGTATGAAAGTGTTGCAAACGTATAATTTTCAATAAATCTTCTTCATAAAGAAAACATCTTTCTTACGAATAGCATTTTTTCTTAGCTAACGTTCAAATAAATCATTGCGGATCTGTTAAATCGGGCTACAAAAAGTTGACTAATATTTCACTGATGATAATAATTTGTTGATGGATTTGAACTACTAATTCAAAAGACTTTACTCAAATTACACAAGATACACTGAACTCTTGGTATTCGCTAGGGATAGGTTTTTTAAAATCTGGTGAAAACCAAAAAAGGATGCCTATGCAGAAAATTGAACATTTCGAAGATAAACGTTAATTGTAAAATAAAATATTGCAAATTTTCTAATATAAAACGTTTAAATTATTTCTAAAAAGCAATGAATAATTTTATTAAATAATACAAAAAATAAATTCGAGTAAGAGATTGAAAGTTCAGCAGGAAAATCTTGAAATTAAAAGAAGGAAAATTTACATATTCCGTAGAATAACTTTATAATACAGCCTATTGTATAATTTTAAATATTTTGATAAAATAATGAACAATAACCATCCTTTAAAGTTATAATACAAACAATGAACATTAGACAAAAGACAAATTTGACGTTCGACAAACGAACGGTAGCAAATTTTGTTCGTAATAAATTAATTCTGACAGGTGTACTGTACAGTCAGAATTACGCTTGTCCAGCTTCTTGACGTCACGAAGTAGCGACATCTCGCGGTAAAAAACAGAACTACGGCTACGGAATCGTTCTGTAATTAGACCCCAGTATCAAATAGCCTCATTACGCGTCGTCCTAGCGCTAAGCTTTTAGGTATTCTCTTAAGAAGAAGAGAAAAAGTTTGTGCAGAAAGGATTCAATTTTATTCTATTGTTTGATTTCGTTAAAACAAAGCGCGCGTTAATTCATTACATTTAGTTATTACCACCACCGTAATGACGGAATGAAGGTAATAATGCAAATGTACTCGATTTCGTTTCGATAAATTTATATTACGTTACGTTAATTCTGCAAATTTGCATATAAATTATATTGTGACGACAGTAGCATCCGTTAAGAACCTATTGGATGGATGCAAACAAATTAAACATTAAGGCAAAGTAAATCGAGGGGTTGATTTTCTTCTTTGATTCCGGGCAACAAACGCACGTAAGATGGTAAAATGCCTAATTTATCGGAATTCGTAATTGTTCAAAAATCCGAAGAGCCAAAACCGTTGACGAGAAACAACCCCAAGGGTCAGGGTCACGAACTTTGCTCGTTCGGAATAATTCGCCGTATCCACCACGGGATTTCGTAATGAATGGAATTAATGGTAATTGCAACGAATTGATAATTTTTCTGTGTAATTATTACCGTAGAGAGCGTCGTCAATGGCCCAACGTAATTATATATTTAAAAAATTAAAGTTGCCATCCAATCCGTAATTTAATAATTCGGAATAAATATTTCAAAAATTCTCACATAATTCTCGTAGTTTTATAATTATTATATTCCGAACATTTTAAATAAATATTATTATATGGATAAGCTACTTTGGTACAGCGCGGTTCTAAATAGACCAGCGCTGTATCGAAACGTGATCAAATCAGTTAATAGAAGAGCGTCGATGCTTAAGAACCATTCTTTCCTATAAATATTAAGACTAAGTAAAACCCTTTTCCGTACAAGATCGTAGACATTAAACAGATTTTCAACACCAGCTGTCCGCCATTAAGAACCTGCTTTTCACAGTGGTAAGGATTTCCGGATGGAAATAAGGTAACGCGTCGGACGTCCCGTTTAATCGTAAAATCCCGCGTATGTTAATTAATTAAGCCAGGCTTTTTGTAATTCTAGTGTTTTCGCTTCCTGATATATGTATTCGACGTGTTTGCAGATTTTATCTGGGTAACAGTTACCCTGTCTAACATCGGGAAATTCTGCATCACCGGTTCGTTCGCGGTCATCTACGTCTACGGATGCGAGCTCTTTCCTACTGTTTTAAGAAGCATAGCGCTAGCCACTGCCTGTTTTATCTCCAGCATCGGTCTGATTCTGGCTCCTCATCTGCTGACTCTGGTGAGTATTCCGAGGATTTCTCCTCCTCTCCGTCGCGGTACACGCAACGGGTTTTCTGTTTGCAGTCGGAGTCGTACGGTCGTGCCATTCCCGTCATCGTAATGGGTGCCATATCCGCAGCCGGAGGCCTTTCCATCTTGTTTTTACCCGAAACTTTAAATTCGCACTTGCCACAGACCATCGAGGAAGGCGAGAATTTCGGTAAAGATGCCAAATTTCTGAGTTGTCCCTGGACTAAGTGAGTGCTTTTTTGATTTATTCGGCCGCGGACTTAAGCGCCGTTTCCTATTGTAATTTTAAAAACCGTTTTTAATTAAAGGAAACGCCAAGAAGATCGGCGGAAGAACGGCGTGTGCCTTCACGATTTCAAAGAAAAAATTTAGATCTCTTAACAAAGATTGCTTCGGTTTCGCTAAAGAATTAGCTTAAATTAAATACTTAAAAAGTTATATTTATGGTTCTTACTATCGCATATAACAATAAAGTAGTGGATTTTTACTTATATTTATTGCTTTAGAAGCCAACGATTTAGAAAATAAGCAAAAATTAAACGCGTAAGAAGAAGAAAATGTTCTCTTGATCTCTAACTCGACCAACGAAATATTTATAAACCATTTGATAATAAAAATTGCGTAAGAAACCTTTAGACCGCTCTTCGACCTCACCCGTTTCCTTTCTTGCAGCCCCCAGTAGTTCCAGTTTGCATTAATTTACGCCGCGTTAATGGAATCAACAAGTAGATTATTTAGGTATGACGTCACACTCGTCTCCACGCTTTAAATATACGTCTTTTAGGTGTAGATTTGGTGTATTTTCAATAAGTTACGTCCTCTGTTCGAGTAGTCGTTAATCTCGGATGCTTTGTCGAATTTCCCGTGACGTAAATTCACCGGCGCGTGTAATAAACGACGACTACTTTACATTATCCTCAATGGAAACACTAGGAAGGTTAGATAAATTCAGGATGTAGTTTGTAAAGACGATGTCGAGCGGGAATCGGAGCCGATTAAACGTATTTTAAAAATAATAATCGGAAATGCGTCCAACGTCCCTTGTAACTTGGAAGCATCCTTTCTTACGATATTGGAACCAATGAGGAAGTAGGCAGACTTCGATCACGTGTCGGGCCATATTTAAAATCGAACGGCCAATCGAGGCCGTGTCAATACCGATTATAAAGTATGGAGTTCGACGAGGTGCTGCCCCACATCGGCTCTTACGGCAAGTACCAAATATTACTGTTGGGTCTGTTGGCTCCCGTGGCCAACATACCTTGCTGCTTTACTTATCTCAGCGTGGCCTTCGTTTCCGCCACCCCCGATCACTGGTGTCGAATACCGGAACTGGAGGGACACTTTCCCGAAGACGTAATCAAGAACATCAGCATACCGCTGGAGACCAGAGATGGCGTCGAAATGTACAGTCAGTGTGCCATGTACGACTACAATTACACTCGAATCCTGCTGGAGGGTGTTCCCCCCGACGTCGACGTCCCTCGGGTACCTTGCAAGAACGGCTGGAATTACGACAGATCCGTCTACGAGAGTACCTTGGTTACCGATGTAAGTCCCTCTGTTTCCATTATCTTTCCAACTATACGAGTAGCCTAAAAGTCGGTTAACCGAGGTATACTTTTAAACGTCTTCACAAATTGTAAATATCGGTTAACGGACTTTGGGCTACCCAGAAAATATGGAATTTGATGGTTTTGTATTAGGTTAGAAATTAGGTGAATACACCTAATTTCTAACCTATTCTATTGGTTATAACTAATTTCTATTGGGGATTTTTATGTAATTTTTTAAAGTGTAATATATTAAAATCGCCGCCTATTTACAGGTTTTCCCTTATTTCGCATCTAGTAACAGGGCGCCTTGTATCCATTTACATGCAGAAAAGTCCAAATTTACCGTCCAGTTTATCGTTATAATAATAAACACAGATGATAAACCAGAAGATAATCGTCAAAGATAACCTTCTAAAAACTGTTTAAAGTCTTTATATATACTTAAATTTATGAAAATAACTATTACATCATCGATTTTAAGCACTTAAAACGTAAACGTTTACCAACAGAATTAATTATCAGCAAAAATTTGAGTAAAACGGAGTGTAACATCTTTACGAATTACACGAATCTCGTGTTATTAAACACCGCAAACATGGCTCGATACTTGGTAATTTTAAGGACTCGTAAAAAGGACAATTCGAACCATTAAAATAAACTCCGATTATCGATGTCGAACCTCCGAACTTTAACCTAATTCGTAAAGTATTAGGTTAAATTTACGTAATTATTACAGACGCGTGCGTGTTTTGTACACGTATCGTTGTATAATACTAGGCTAATTATGTAATTAACGATGATTAATTCAATTAATTGTAAACAATATTGTTTACCATACCGAATAATTGTTCTCGCTTTGCCATAAAACGTATATAAGATAGCTTTAAATCTTATTATGGTGATTTTCGTACATTTTTAATCGATTATCGCATATATTTTGAGTTGGAGCAATGTGAAATCGAAGCCGGAACCTTATGCGTATTCTATAATTTTATAAATTGTGGGGTATTCATTTAATCTTACGCAGTTTACCTTATTAGAATCGAATTATAAATTTGGCAAATTCTGTTTTTCTTAACCAAGATGGACGTGGTATGCGAAGACAGATGGCTTCAATCGCTAGCGGAATCCAGTTACTTCTTTGGGACCATCGTGGGTAGCATCATTTTCGGCAATTTAGGCAACATGTAAGTCATTTTAATGGTTAAAATTTCATTTTAAAGATATTTAAATACTGAAGTAGCTGTATTTTCTTTAGTTATGGCAGGAAACCGACCTTCTACGTGCTGCTCTTCCTGAACATCGTGGCCGGCATTCTGTCGGCATTTCCGCCTAATTACACGGCATATATTGTTTATAGGGCATTTATAGGCACTACTAGCATTGTCATTTTCCAAATTCCTTTCATTTTGGGTGAGTATTTTAATATTTTAGCCACGTGATGCGAGCGGTGATGCAATCGGCGCGTTCTAATAACCTGTCGACACGGGACATCAGTGTGGTTAAATAGTTATACTTGGTGCTGAGTGATAAACGATTAAGAGTTAAACGCGGGTGACGGATGAATGAAGCGAAATGACCTATTCGCTCCCATCTAAGATTAACAAAGTTAACCTTGATCGAATGTTTATGAGGAAAAATCTTGAAAATTGGTTTCGACCGGTTCCAATCAAACATCGCCAATAATCCACATCCCCTTACGTCAATTCCTAACGAATTTATTCTAAATATAACTACCAAAGGGCCCTTAATTCTTGAAATCTAATTCGCCAGGAATTGTTCTAAGGACTAGAAATTGGGAGCCATATTTTCTACGTTTCGCACGTAATTTCCAGCGCATTTCATAAAGATTTTACCATATATTTATAAATACCGCGCCTTATCCGTTAATATTATGTACAATACGTATATGCAATACACGAGGGTGGGTCAAAAGTCAGTTGACCGCTTCACGCGGCTTTTCCGAACTATTTTGGTTATGTAATTTTGAATCCAACACCAGTTAAAGACTCCTCGCCATCGTTGAACCATTCTCGACTTCACTCGTAGCCATTTTCGATTCTACGTCACCCGTTAAAGGGTATGGATCGATCGGACTTCTTGAGGAGATGGAATTTTCCAAGCCCCATTGTATTATTCACCAATATTATTAATATTTCACAATTTTTCCAGAAAACTTTTAATATAAAATACAGGTAACCCCCGTATAACACGGCACTTCTATAGCACGGATTCGCTCTAACACGGTTCGAGAATTGGTACCATCCCCCGTATAACACGGATTCACTCTGACACAGTTCGAGAATTGGGTAAAACCCTCGTACAACAGGAAATGTAATAAATTTTTACATACTTAAGTAATAATAGTTCACGAAAATTATTATTTTCGTAAACTATTAGTACTTAAGTGTGTAAATTTTCTCTTCTCGCCGTCTGTCGATACAGTGGTCCTTCTCGAAACTTGTTTCAATGTTGCCAGATCGCGACGCTTCCGCTTCCGATGTTGCCGAATGTTTTCCCCTTATACCATACTCGCTTTATTCTTCATAGGTGCTTAGCACCATATAAGGAAATTTATAGAGACCTTTTAACTAGAAGCAAGCAATCTAAAATTACATACATTTTGCAAAAGGTAAAGCGTGGATCTGAAGATAATGCAGAAAAATGCTCAGAGGATAAGGGGATCTGAAGATAATGCAGAAAAATGCTCAGAGGATAAGGATAACTTGCCAAAAAGAAAACGCTCTCGGTTAATTAATAGTGTTTTAGTGATGACGAAGTAAACATTGTTTAATTTATGTTAACATGTATCACTTAAAAAGTTTTAATGAAGATATTTATCTTAATTATGAAAATATACTAGCGTGTTTTTTAATTTTTGGAACCTAACCCTCCTTTTGGTATTAGTTCTTTGTTTCGTATAACACGGATTCGCATAGCACGGCAATTTTTTGGAACGTAACTACCGTGTTATACGGGGGTTACCTGTACATCAAAAATTAATGTAATAAATTTAATTATTTACTATAAATTAGGGAAATTTTAGAGTAGAAATGTCTTTACACTGGTATCTAAATTTGACATTTAATAATTATTTTTCATAACATATCGGCTATTAGCTCGTAAATGAAATTATTTGACAGTTAGCCACCGTTAATAACACACCTCGCCATTGAAATAATAAGAGTTTATCTGAAATCCGTCTGCAAACACATCACCTTCGTCCGATATTGTAAATATTCATTTAGATAAATCCAGTATGAAATACTTTATTAAGGAGAAAAATGAAGAGTTTACATTAATGCCAAGCCATTTCTTATCAATGATCATCACGTGTTTAATGTTGATATTTGAAGTGACGATACGATGACGATAAGCTCTATTTTTAAGGTGATTTTCTTTGATAATTTAAATAAAATAGAAATTAGAGAAAATATTACACACAAACAATATCCTCTCCTCGTCGTTACTTTCGAATCGCCATAGAAATTGCATGCAAAAGTTTCATCATCGTTGTAAAAATTCACGTCAGCACAAACCATACATATATATATGGCTTGTGCTGACGTGAAAATAATAATTAACTATCTTAATTATAACGGGGTAAGTGGAAAAGTCTGTATTAAAATCGACAACGAATTGCAGATTTACGTGGATAAACATTAAAATCCATACGTCAAGTATTTCGGGTGTAGCTGGGCCCTGGCAATTTTTAATATGTAAAATTAATTTTACAATTTAAGCAAAATTTTACGGGTGGGCCACACTCGAATACATTACATTTCTTAAGGCATATTGTTTCCTTTCTAAAGATTTTCTGATCCGATATTGTAGATGTGTATCTGTAACTCGCGATTGAATACAAGCAACTTCCTTGTCCGTCCATTACGTTTACGTCAGCACGAGCCTTATACGAATTCAACACTATTACTGCAAATTGTCCTATTATCTCATCTTGTATGAGCGATACACTAATCATTTTGAAACCATGTTAAATGTTACTGTTTTTTATTTTTAATGAGAAAATAATGGAAGAGACGAAATTCAATTGTTTCAGTTTCCTCAAAAATGACCTTGGAACATTGACTGAGGGCAATGTAATGCTCTCCCTTTTATGTAAAGTTGCAATACCTGAGACTGTATATTGCGTGTTACGCGCAGTTTCTATTATACTGTAATGCAGTCAAGTGTTGTTCTCGCATTCGAAAGTTTCAAAAAGCATTGAACTCTTTCGACTTTATCAATGTACCCTAAGCTTTCGGTCGCCTATTCGCGGTTAATTTGCCAGTTACACTTACAATCCCTCGTATATTACACTAGTAACAGTCAGAAAACTTATAAAAATATTTTATACGTGTAATTTGTAAGTACCAAGTTTATAAAAAGAAACTGTATAAGTAATTGTGGAAGCCGCAATAAAGGTCTAGAAGAGCCGCATGCGACTCGCGAGCCACTCTTTCGCCATCATAATAATATCTATTATTTTAAAAAGTACAGTCAAACTTTGATTTTAGCGCCAACATTTATCGTTCTTTATTTAATATTTATGTGGCATGGATCTTCCATATAAGTAATTCGTTTTCGCTTTACGATAGGGCATCATTTGGGAAGTCACCACATCGAGGTTTGACTGTATATTAGTAATGATATATTATACGAGACTATTATAATAATAATTCAGTTAATGCGATTACGGAATTTGAGTTTAAAGGTGATAAAAACTTAATTATTTCTATATTTACAGCCATGGAGATGATGAGTCCACAAAAGAGATCCGTATCGGGGATGTTCATATGCACCATGTTTCCATTGTCCATATCTTTCATGTGTTTGTTGGCATACCTTTCACGCAATTGGTTTATATTGTCTTTACTAACTTCCTTCCCTCTGATACTCTTCTTCATCATTTGGTAGTAAGTCGTCACCCGGAATAACTTCTTAAATTTTCTTAAGATTTGATGTAAAAAATAAATGAAATTCTTCTTAGTTTCGTTCCAGAATCGCCAAGATGGCTCATGACACAGAATCGAATCGACGAAGCCGAAGTCATCGTCCAGAAAATGGCAAAAATCAACAAGAAGAAGATCGAACCCAACTTCTTGAGGGCCCTCATGGTAAAGCCCACAGATTCCTCCCTTAAACCATAAAACACTATAAAATTTTAAGATAAATTATGCCATCGTATTTAGACGTCAAAGGGTATCAATCATCAAGAGGATAAGAAACCGGATAAGAAGTTAATCATCTTGCAAATGATCAAGTATCCCAATATAAGAAAGAAGTTCCTCATCATCTCCTACGGGTGGTTGGTGAATGCCATCGTTTACGTGGGTCTTCTCTTAGGAGCCACCATGTTCAGCATTAACGATTATCTGTCCGTCACCATTTCCGGTTTGGTAGAGCTTCCGGGTGTCCTGATATCGTGGTGGGCCATGGACAGATACGGTAGACGAACCGTTATCTTGACAGATATGGTAGTAGGGGGGCTAGCTTGCGTCTGTGCCGGTTTCGTTCCCGGAGGTAATTCCAATTTCTCTCCAACACTAATCTAAAATGCTCGGTTCTATCAAGCTTTTTCCTTGCAGATTACACTTGGACCATTGTCATTTTGGCCAACATCGGGAAATTGGGCATAACCGGTTCCTATTCCACCATTTATTGTTTCGGAAGCGAGTTGTTTCCTACCGTTCTTCGCACTTTAGCCCTGGCTACCGCCTCTTTAGTGGGCAGTATAGGAGCGATAACAGCACCATACATACTCTACCTGGTATCCAACGATTCTTTATATAACGTTTTGGTGTATTTTGCCTCGGAGACTAATGCGGTTCTGTTGTCTTGCAGGGGGCGTTATACGGAAGAGCTTTACCTGTTATCATCTTAGGAGTGTTGTCTGTGTCCGGCGGTATCAGTACTCTGTTCCTGCCAGAAACTCTCAACGAAAATTTACCAGAAACCTTGGAAGAAGGCGAACAATTTGGCAAAGATGCCAAAGTTTGCCAATTTCCGTGCACAAAGTAAGTTTATTGCATTTTTTATTTGAAAGTAGCAAAGTTAATCATTTAAAATACGTGCGATTGCTTCAAAATATTCGTACGCCTCTTACGGATATTTGCGTAAAGATTATGCCTAAGGCAGTTAATCCCAAATACATTATTATTATTTCGTGTAATAAATTACAATAACCTAAAAACTTGATTTTCCAGACTAAATTCTTGTAATTATTGAATAATTTGCAAATTTTTTCGATTATAGTCATTTTGAGATTGCCAATTAACTCGTACACTGGAGAAATTTGGAGAATTTATAAGCAAATTAAAAAAGCAATTACAAGTTAATTTTTACCAATGCAATTAGTAAAAAGTAATTTTATTCCATTTTTGGGCGGTGGTTTCTTTTTGGAAAACGATCGTTTCCGTTAGCATCGCGTGTCTGGAACAATGGGCGCATTGCCGGTTAAAGAGGTTTTCGTACGAGATTATTTTGGCTTTTCTGGCTCGGATAGGATTAGAACACGAGTTCGGATCCTATCCGAGACACGCTCATCTCGACGTAAGATTGAATACGAATTCTCCGGTAAAGTTCTACCGTATCCACAAGTTTCCAGAAGGTGTTTTTGAATTCTGCCAAACGAGTGCGTATGTCTTGGCAGCCATTAAGATACTGCGAGTCGTTAGTGTAGGTGTGCGATGTTAGTTTTTCATTGGCCACATGCCTTAACCGGTTGGGTATATTATGGCCAGAATGTTTTTCATAAGTGGTTTGAAGCTGTATGCGATGTACACGATAACGTGATGCATCGAAATTGCCCACGTAATCAACCGTTCTAGTTAAATTTTCATGAATGAATGTAAGTAGAGAATAGATAACCAACCGTGCACGTAGTACATCCAGCGAGATAAATAACTGCCATCATAAGACACGATTACTTGCAGATAAATGTAGAGCCATCATAAACCCTATCTTAAAAACAAATGTTTTGTGACAGTTTATCAATTAAAATTTCACCTACTTTACCACTTGAAAAATAATTGAAGCATTTTTTGGTAATCGTGGGCTTTACTTTTAATAAGATATTCAAATATAGCTGGATATTTCGAAGATGGTCGTTCTTTCGTGTAGTTATTCCACGATTTTATTGTACTTCATACTTATTATACTCTAAATGATCTTTAAACCTGGCAATTGTTATATCTAAGTAATTAAGTTTATCAAATATTTCGTTCTCATGGGTAAACTTGATATATTCATTAATTTCAATAGCTTTTTTTAGTACTTTCTCACAAGTTATTTTACTACTGTATATAATAAACTAGCTGTTACCCGCGGCTTTGCTCGCGCAAATTTTGCAAGCAAACCCTATTTACATTCAATATTTCAACAACCATAGTAATTGTTATTTAACACCTACCGCTGGGAATCAAACCAACTATTTTCAATTTGATCAATTTTCTGGAACGTTTACAATCGTTCTGTAATCGAACCAATATGCAATAACATATTCGAATTTAAAACGGTTCGAACATTTGGTTAAAAAATCGAAATATAAAAAATATTTATAACAATGTCTGAAATGTTATCAATTTAATACATCTCAATGAAGTACTCAATGAAGACTAAACATAGTTGAAAACAAAAAATCAGATCTAAAACAATACAGTAGAAGCCATTCTTCGTGTTAAGCCTTAATGCTCTCCCTCTTCCCCCGCGGGGGAATTTCGAAAAATTCCTTCTTAGTGCGCGTTTTCGTGACGTACTCTGTCTACCAAATTTCACCTCTAGGTTCTGGAACTTTCTAGAAAAAACTGGAACATTCTCATTGAAGCGTCACACATTTTCTAAGTCAACCACTTTCAACCCCCATATCTCCCACACCCTTATAGTTATGGAGACGCAATCACCATAATGCACGATGGGAGACTCGGGGCTACTACCACACACAAATACCATTCGTGCGCGATGTGTAGTTTTGGCTGCAGAGTGACGTATAGGCACTCTGCAGCCAAAACGTATATGTTGTTGTGCTTGCTGTTTTGTTAAGTTATGGCAACGCAACACTTGGGCGATCTGCCTGGGGGATGCTTCCGGGAGGTCTGGTTTAAGGGAAACTGGCCCCTATTTAGGCGTTACAGACGTGGAGAAAAACCGGAAAACTCCACGTGCCAGCCCGTCCGAGCGAGGCGCGAACCCACGACATTGTTCGGGGTACGACCGCTCGGTCACTGGTGGGCCCGAAAATACTCAGTAATTTGTAAGGGTTTTTATTTATTAAATTATAAACAAAGTGGGTATTACGAACGAAATCTGTTAGTAATTTCAAAATCAATTATATTCTCAATCGTATAGTTCTGCAGTTCTTGAAGTATCTTAATGGCAGCGCCACATACGGGAAAATACATGAACCCGTGTGGCTAGTTGTGGTTAACCTGTATACTTTATACACTGGCGTTTGCATACGACGCCTTTATATTGTAGAAGTCGAGAAACTTACCTAAATTTTATTTCAGCCGCCAGAAGAAGGAACCGGTGAAAATGTCCAGATTTAGCATGCATAGAGATTCGAAAACAATTAGCCTCTACGACTACGGAGTGTAACCGTCCACCGTTACGTAATTTATAGAAAATTTAACAAAACTCTAGTGGTGAATATTTTCGCGGTTTCCGGTGAGTCCATTCAAACGCATCTTTTTCCACTTAATTCTAACTGGTTTATTGTACAAAAAAGCATTCGCCGCCGTTTTCTGTCGTCGAAATTATCTGCTAGCGAGGATTTTACGTGTATTACGGCGTATCTTTAATGATTTTTTGACACAAATCGTGTTCGAACGACAAAAAACATTCCTGGCAACGGAATTCCCGGATGAATTTTTTTCTTCTAAATTTTGATAATCGTACGAAATTTCTCTATAAAGTTTCGTTGTATATTCTCTACGGGGTGACCCGAAAATCATTAAACAGTTTTATTATTCAAAAGAGCTAGGATAGTTAACGGTAAGTTCCAGGTAAACTGAATTTTGGGCCACCCAGTATATTCTTCAATAAACTATATTTTTGTATGTTAACTACGTATAATTTACTACAATCCCGAGAATAAAATGGCCGTCGACGTTCGATAATAATCTTCCACGAATGGAACAATGGCCTATTCTTGTTCTGGTTTTATCTCTAGTAAATCAATATTTAACTGCCATATATAGTAGTATTTCCTTTTTATTTTTTAATATTAAACATTTTTCAAATTATTAACTATTGTATCTGAATTGTATATATATATTATTTTATTAAATTTTCAAAAAGTTATGTTGCTTGACTTACTTTTAAATTAAGAGATTCCTTTAATAATTTAATATAAGAATATAGAAAATAAATTTTCAATATATGTATATGGTACAATTTGAAGATATAAAGCATTTTATGAATGAGTATCATATAAAATTTAAATCCCTATTACAGAATAACTCTTCCATATAAGAATCAAATTCCTCTTTTTTCCATTTTACCAGTAGAAAATCATATTTATATCTGTTCTTTATTTGATTAAATTATCAACACACACACACACACGCTTACATACAAGCACAATCTATTTTTCATTATATATGAATAAAAAATTTTGAACTTGGAAGAATCCTTTTTATGTATGGTTATTGGTGGGTAAAGGTCGAACTGACAGATAGACAGGGTCATGTGTCACATCTGCAGTGGGATCAAACTTAATGAAAATTTTACTTGAGTTGTTGTTATAAAAATATTGTAAATGCCATATCTCCTCAAAGTTAAGCTTCTTTCCTTTTTACAATAATATAAAATAATTTTTTTAATAAAATGTGGTAACAGATGGTGCCTTACACAATTTTAACTTTTCCAGCAAGATCCCCACATTATTATTATTTCGTGTAATAAATTACAATAAGTATCATTACAAAATTTTTTAACCCAATATGCTTCTTTAATAAAATGTGAAATACCAAGAAAACTTTTACTTGTCCCTCATTTTTATTAATAAATTATTATATATAATTTATCTACTTTGGAATTATCAAATGTACTTATGGAAAGGAAAATCATTTTATTACAAAGATTTTTAGATAAATGTTTAAAGTTCATCATAACAATTGCATGATGAATATTCATTATCCAATTTTAAAGAAATGGCCAATATTGTATACGTGAAAGAACTAAATCTTAGTTATTCACTCTCATTGTAATTTGTTTTGTATTTGTATATCAAATTAATTTGACCACACTCTTAAGAAACTATATACAAAATTTATTAATATTTACCAATTGGGAACAATTTTCTTAAGATTCTTTCGTAGGTTTTACGCTCATTGTCGTCTTGACCGCGGTCTGTTTGGAAGCCGGCTTGTTTTTCTTCCTCCACTCCACCCAGGCGGCCACGTCTGGTTGACGCATGTCTCCCTTCTGTTCTAGCTGTTGATAGTAGGCCTCGCGTAGAAAACGGAACGCCTGTAGATTAGCATAGGGTATGAGAGTGACGGGATCAAAATAGCGACTTGGCATTTTGGTAATGGGACACAGAGTCCTGGAAGCGGGTTTGGGCTTCCTATTTGGAAAATACTCTCTCAGTAGTTTCTCGTCTGTGAAGGTGACGAAATTCCTCGAACACCTTTGCTCCGTAGGTTTCTTCTCTGTGGTACCGCTGCACCAAATAACAAACATAAAATATCAAACCAAACTTGTTTAGATTCATATATACCTAAATCGTGCAATAGATATCCTCAGTAATTTAGTCCCCATTATGTCTCACAAGTTTGGATTATTATTTAGTCAAACGGCTTAATCATTCTTGGGTGAAAACAATCACCTAGCTCTAAGTTATAGCTTAGTCATTTATTGGAATAAATTGAACTTATCAAAATAACAATCCAAACTTGGAAAACCATAATGGTGCCTCCTACCTTACTTTTGCATCAAAATCTCCCCTTGAAAGTCAATGAAAAAGTACACAGTAAATTCAAACATATGAAAGATATAACAACACAATAGCAATACCAGATGCACACCACCACGTCTACACTGGTATGTCTAAATGAATACAGGTCTGATACATTTACAGATATTGTATATTAGTATACCCTGGGTACCTGGGTATATAATTCCGGAATTATATTTCATCATATATATATAATCAATCAAAATACCACCCCTTTGTTCACCCTACAAGGTGGCTAATCAATCTGCACACCTACATGCAGTGGCACTGTAAATATAAAGAAACTCAAAGATCCCATCTTTATGTTGTATGATAATCCATGAACTTTGGAGATGGAAAGGATCCACCTGGCTAGCCTAAGAGCCTGCAAACAACAACGATAGTTATGCTGGTGAAGATATAGTAGTTTTAAAATTTTCCGACACCAGACAAATTAAAAATATTAAATGTTGAAAACAATGTACATCCAAACAAAGATCAGTTACATTTTTTTCTCTTATAACATACATGGGGGACCCAAGAAAACCTTGTATAAAAACTTTGAAGAAATTTTGTAAAAAAGTTAATAAATAGTCACCTTCAAAGTACTCTCCATTAGATGCGATGCACTTGTGAAGTCTTTTTTCCCACTGTTTCAAGCATCTCTGGAACTCTTCAACCTTGATATCGTCCAGTGCCCTTAACCTCCATATCATCAAAACGCTTCTCTTTTAGATTTTTCTTCATTCTTGGAAACAAAAAAAGTCGCAAGGGACTAAGTCTAGTGAATACGGAGGGTGGGAAACGAAGGGCAATCCCCAAGAGGCCAAATAGTGGGTCACTCTTAAGGTCGTGTGTGCAGAGGCGTTGTCGTGATGAAGGAACCAGTCACCTGATCGCCAAAGTTCTGGATGTTTTGCACATCCTCTCGCAGACATCTTAAAATTTTTTTGGCGGATTTTTTCAACGTTTTCATCGTTTCAAGACAAAAACGTCCAGGACGCCCAGAACTTCGCAGGCAGAACAAAATAACAGTAAGAGAAACACAACAACACTACGCTCAAACATAAACCTACAAATTGACGCCATTTGCACAGCTGTTTCGTGAAGGTCTCTACTAACCCCATATAACGGGAGAACTCTCTACTATGTCTACGAATGGCAGTGTGCTCTCAGTTCAGTTTTTTTGGGTCCCCCTCGTACTGTAACAATTCCTTAATAAAGACACAGCAACTGAATATTTTCTATTATTGAATTTCAAATTCTAGTTTATAATATAACATTTTTGTTTCAATAAACAAAATACATGTATACAAAAAACAATCCAAGATTTAAAAAAAAAATACACAAAAAGAAAAAGTTTATGGAAGACATCTATCAAAATATGGTAATTTAAATCACTGTATTTTGATAAAAAGAAATATAGTAATAATGAAGGCTCATAATTCAAAATGACTACAAAATATTTTTAATTACATTTAATTTTGATTCTATTATTTCCAAATATCAACATTTTGGATAATCACAATGCTATAATTTAACATGAATGTTATACCATATTTGAAATTTTTTAAATCAAATTATTCTAATAATTATTAATTTTGAAATCTCCCTAATAAAAAGTTAAAGTTAATATCCAAAGCACAATAGCTTAAACTGTTTGTAAACTGAGCAAATTAATTCTAAAAAAGAAATCCATAGTCCCATTTGAAGAGATGGTGTGTCTTGACAGCTTAGATAGTTGCTTGGATATTTATGTAGTAAAATTATCAAGTGATAAATTTTGGTCCTTCCGAGAGAGACGAAGATACTATAGGCCCACTTTGACAGAAAAAGTGAGAGGAAGAAAATATAAATTACTCATTTAAAATTAAAACTGTATTGTAAACCAAAATCAGGCTTTTCTTATCATCTATATATAAATGGTACTTACATTCAAAATCTAAAGGAAACAAGCAAAAATTAAGAAAAGGCTGCAATTTTTAATCATAATTTTTAATTTATTCAATTTAAAATATATATGCTCTATTGTAGTATAGTCTTGCACCTGTACATCATACTTTTTATGATAACAACAAAGTCATACCTATAATCTATCTAACTCCATTCTGGAGAAAATTTTTGAATTGAAATCAAGTGACTTCTGGTCTGGACCAGAAGTTTGTATGTAGTTAATCGTGGCCTCCTGCCCCTAAGCTTTCCATATCTCATCTCGACTTTTGTCTACGTAACTCTGTTCTTAAGATTAACAAAGGACAGACAGGATGCCAGTGGGAATTTATAAAATTTGAAAATTGCAGCCTAAACATTACTTCTTAACCTTCATTCCGTTCTAACTCTATATATCTGCTGACACATTCCTAGTAATTCTGGATGCCTTTGAAAGACTCAACTGATGAAACTAACTTCATGCTCATTATAAAATGTAAAAACACTCCATATCAAGCAATGTTACAGAATTAACAACACAACTGCCTATTGACATTACAAAAAGATTTATTTATGCAAGTACTTTCAACAGTTTATAACTGTCTTCTTCAGGAAATAGTAGCATTCTGTTCTCTGTGTATGATATTTGAAAAATGAAATACAAATGGAGAACAACATTTTTTTTTTTTCAAAATTGCTCCTTGCACACAAGCATATATAAAATATAAAATTTTTAATGACCAGGATACACAATGAAATAAATCTAATAAAAATTTATTCAAAGTTATGTCAAACCAAAATACAAAAGTAAATTAATACATAGCAATGGCATTAATGAAGTGGGATGCTATAATTCTTATTAAGCTTTTATAATCTTATCTACAATTCTGGTATGTCAAGCTTGGGCAGTTGCATGACAATATTAAATTAAACACAGTGAAAATAGACTCCCAGATTAAATAGTATTCTCTGACCTCCACAATGCCTTATAAGCGAAGTCTGCAACCAAAGTGGATCAAACATATCCTCTATTACTTGTTCAGCCAGCCCCAATATGTCTGAATGAGCCTTAAGAGTAATATTTTCTAAACTACAATACTTTAAACAAATTGTAAATTATAACTTACTTTTCCTGTTCAGATAATTCTTCAATCAATGGCATAGAAACTGAATGATAACGTATCATTGGTCCTTTATAAGCTGGTTTGATAATTTTTGTTTTCTTCTTCTCCAATTCCAATCTTTGATAAGATTCTAAACCATGAAAAAATTATATCAAGTTATATAGCATAAAAGTTATTGCAAAAGTTCATTATTAAAACATTTTTGAATGATACTTGATTTTCAGATAACCAATTTGTTATTTAGAATGATAAAAATTATAATATTCATATATAACTGTTTTCACAGTACTAGTCTTTCACTGTGTCATTGTGGGTTTAGTCAAGTTCACAATGGAACTGCTACAGCAGTGATTCTCAACCTTTCTGAAGCCGCAGAATACCATTCGTATACTTTTTATTACACGGAGCATTAGCATCAATATAATCAAAAATTTATAAGCAATTCCATGTTTACTATTCTCAGGAAACAATGAAGCAATAAATTAATAAACTTTAGTATACTGAATAAAATAGAAACATGGAATTGTCTATGAACATAGCAATGGGAATAAATTTGAATAAAAACTTTAAAATCTTTTCTTTTGTGGAACACTCAAGGTAGGTTTGCAGAATACTGGTTAAGAACCACTGTGCTAGAGAGTAAGGAATGCAGAACTGACATATTCAATCAAACCACTCATGAAAATTTGAGGATTTGACTCAAGAATAGAGTTTGGAACACACTAAACTCTAGTGTTCAAAAACTATCTGATCATCAAATTATACATATTTTATAATAATTTAAATAGTTGTAACTCAAGAGAATTAAAATATAGGATTCAGATAATTTAGAGATTTATACTTCACTGAGGAATCATAAAGTATCAAAATAAAATCAAATTATGAGACAATTACATATGTATTTTATATTATTAACATAAAACCTAAATAAATCTTACATATTGCTATAATTAGTTCTGTATTTAATGAAAAAAATCAAACAAGTAATCACCCTAACAACGAGATCAAATGTTTTAGCTGGTTAGTTAATTTGTTTATTATTTTATGTTTAAATTGTTTTTTAGTTTTGTATGTTATTCTATATAAAATTTTTAAACAAAAATTTTGAATGATTAATGAGAAGAAAATCTTAAAAGTTTAAAGAATCAATAAAAAAGTAATTTTTGTTTATATTTGTTTAATGTTAGGTTTAGGTCAGAACCTGAAAATTGGCATTATATTTATATAATTATTATAAATGTAAGTTATAAGTTACATCATATAAACTTTAGTGATGCTACTACTAATTTAATTTCAAAATTTTTATCTTAAAATGTATATGATTCTGTAGTTTATACACTAGATTAAATTTTGTTAATACCCTTAAGAGTATTTATTTATTTAATCATTACTTAGCTCAATCCTTTGACAGTTCACTGTATTCAGAGTTAATCCATATAAGTGGCTTCTTGGTATATCAAGAATCCACTGTAATTGACAGTAGATATAAACTTATTAAATTTCCTTTAAAACAATTGTTTAAGATGTATCAATACATCAGACTGAAATTACTTTTTTCTTAAAATAATTTTGGAGACTAAATTACACTTTCAAACACCACAAAGCAGATTTCATAAAATACAATAAAAATTTTCAAAAATATAAATAGTTTGTGAATGAAAATGATTTTATAATCCTAAATATTCTGATTGTTTAATCAAGATTTTGATGTTTGTTTTTTGATTTTTTTTTGTTCAATTCATTAGTTTATTATAAACACTTAAGAGACAGGTGTATGAAAAAAACAATACAGTAAAACCTATTCAAAGAGAAACCTTAATAAAACAGAAACCTTCCTATATAATTCAATTTAACTAAATACAATGATAAAAATTATTGACTTACAGTGGAATCTCATACAATAAACTTGAGGGAATCTCAAAAATGTTTGTAAGCTGAAAGTTTGTTGTAATGAATACATACATAAATTATCACCAAGCATTAAATAGTTACATGTCACAATCATAAATTTCAATGAATTATTAGTGTAACAAGTAGAATTCAAAATTTCTTAATTACAACCTATAAGCAGCAGAAATGTCATACAGCTGTTACAATGTTAAGTCTGTATAATCATTTGGATGTTTTAAAATTACCATTCTTTTAGACTTAAGATTTAAAAAGAGGACCAAAGAAAGTCCGAAAATATAAATCAAATAATTAAACTGGCTTCTGTAAGTACTGTCGTTTTTAAAATGAGATGATAAACATAACCTAAGCATTAAAATTTACTACCAGTTTAGAATATAATGAAAATATTACCTAGAGATTTTAAATTTTTTTGTTCTGTTATTTTAGCTTCTGCTAATAATTCTTCTTGGGTCATTCGGTAATACCGGCTAGAATCTCTCTTCTTGGGTTCACGGTTTTTCTTCAATTCTTCTTGCTGTTTCATTCGTCTCTCAGTTTGTTCAGATTTCTCTTTAGTTGACTGTCTAACAGATTTTCTTTCTAAAGAAGAGCATTTGCAATTGGTAAATAACTATATAAAATACAGATTGTTATAAAGAACATTTATAATATTTAGTGTATGCTCTATACTATTGTTAATTCAATAAAATATTATATCAGAATTTATTTAAGTGAATAAAAAATATATTTTTGAATTGCAGTTTCCTCTTTTTATTAAAAAAATTTTAGGAGATTAATATATAATTCCAATATATGGCATTTGTATTAAATGAAACAAAAATGATGTTATACTGAGTGATAATACAGAAAGTTTACTTATAAAATGTGACAATGCCAAAAGTTATGTATCATTAAGTCTATTCCTCAAAACTACAAAACTGTCATTTAATATTTTGTTTCTATAATATTTCCAATTTTCAATATCAAAGAAATAAATAAAAATTTTAATCTATAAATAAATATAAATATCTTATTACCTACTGAAACATCTGATATAACAGGCTTAACTGCACATTTTGGAATTCGTGAATCCTTTTGTTTTTTTGAAGTATCTCGTTTCGGTTCCTAAAATATTTGAAATAAACATTTTGTTAAAAATATGAAAAAGTTAGAAAATTAAAAAAAAATTTATTAAAATTATATTCTTTACTTTTTACATTTTTGACTTATTTTAACTGTAATGAACTATTTTAAAACTAAATTTACTACAATAAATAGAACATACAGAAGAAATACAAACAACATAGAATGTTTGTTGTTGTCAACTAATTTTTGTTACAATATAAAATTGTAAATTTCAATTAATGTTATACATATCTGAACTAAAACCAAATAAATCATTTAATTACATAAATGTATTTATTTAACTAATAAATTAAAGCAATCAAACAACAAATGAAAATAATTTCAAGTATTTTACCTATGAAATAAAATGAACTTATCTGGATTTTCATTGGACCTGCTAATATTTTCATATTTTCCATTTTTGACTCTTTCTACCCTACGGGCACTGTGAGGGTCTTTTTAATCATACCCATTGTGGAAAGGAAGCAGCCTGGTAATGAAAGGCGAGGCCCAATATATCTGAGACAGACCATCTCCCAAAAAATTTTGACTGCCTGTGTTTGATCCCAGTTCTGTAGTAACAGTAGTAGTAATAGTATGCTAATGATTTAATGATTTAACTATTTAAAACTATTTAAAATATTTGGTTGGTCATCCAACCACCAAATATATTAAAATTTTAATGAAGTATTTAACCTAAAGTACTGAATTTCAAAAGTTACTAAAAAAAAAAAAAAAACAGAAACTTTTCACTAATCTACAAAAAGTAACCTAATTTAATACTCTTAAATAAAATAGTGTCCTCCAGGTTATCTTTTGTCTAGACTTTCATCATTGTAACTAAGTAATTTGAGCTGAAAGAGTAGAGTGTAAATATGCGAAAATTTATCAAGTCCTATTCTTAGTCAATCTTTCTTTCAAAATATTCTAAATTACTCTATTAAACTTTGTTCTAAACATAATGTAATTTTTAATATTAGTACAAGATACTTTCTTGTAATTGCTTCAGGTCTAGTTGTTTATCTTCAAGTTTTATTAATGGTTATTATTATTCACCTGTAAAACTAGATTTACCAGAATAGGCAATAATTCCATTACGACTGATATAATAAGTCTAGTATTATAGGTGGATAATAATAGCCGTTAATAAAACTTGGAGGTAGTACAAGACAGCTTAAACCACCTATCAGCCCAAATTACTTAGTGATAATAAACCTTAAGTTAGTGGTTTTCTATTGGATAATGTGACACATAAGGGTGATATAACAACACTTCATGGAAGCCATGAAATGGATTAATGGAAGAAGGCAACACAACATTTAGGCAATCTACCAAGGAGGAGTACCACCAGGGAACACTTTCTAACAGAAACTGGCCTCTATTCAAGTATTCAACATATGGAGAAAAGGGCCAAACAGATAGCCATATTATAACCCAATTTAATCCAGCATTCATTTGGCCTTAATCAAAGATCAGATTAACAGAGATTTATATGAGGAGAAAATCCAGAAAATTCCATAGGCAAGATGCAAACCCATGACCAACTATCAGTGTTCAGTATGAAAATTTAGACTATGGAAAATTACAATTAATTGTATAATTTCTTTCACTAATTATAAATGTATAAAATATTTTTTTATTTATTGTTCTGCTAAATTATTAATATTTATACATCTACAAAAAACATTGTTTGCTGCATTGTGCTGTAGGTATATGGACTGATGCACTTAATAAAGTTGTTGTTCTACATTTGTTAATTAAATGTTTGTCATTTCTTTTATGTTATCTAATCTTAATTCAAGTTCACAATATTTATAAGTCTACATACAACCACAAATAGAAGTAACGTAAACCATATTGCAATTTTATTGTTTTATTTATAATTATATTATAATCTAAATGGAGATTAAAACAATATTTTTAATCAATTAAAAAGCAAACAATTCTTTCCAAAGAGCAGAGAGCAATCTACACACTAGTGAAAACATTCATAAAACTATTTTTTACTGTAAATTCAATAATGTTCAAATCTTGATGATACTTTTTAAAATATTATGATCCATATTCATAATTTCCTGAAATATTTAATTTCAAGTAGAAGTAAGTTGAGATATTATATAAAATGAGAATGCACTAAACATTTCAAGTAGTAATACAGTTTGAAACTTTTACATTACAGATATTTTGTGTGTCCTGTTTAAAGCATTCCAAAATTTAAAAAACTCAATATAATATACTTTCTACAAATACATAGTACATAATTTTATTGAAGGGTTATCACACAATTGAAATCATTATTGCCTTGTAGAAAGTATATTGTATTATAAATAAAAAGGGATTAAAGGCTAATTGATGAAATAAAAACATCAAGTTAAGAATAAATAATATTTATATAGACAAACATTAAGTTATAACTAAAAAAACAGACTCCACATTAAAAAAAAAAAGTTAGAATGAAAATCATGTGTTATTGCTATTTCTGTGTTATATTTATTATAGACTTTTGATTAAGAATTGTATTATATGTATTGTGTTATACCTACTTATTTACAATATACATTAAACAACTTTATATTTGGGTACTTAAAATAATTATCTAAATTTATAAATAATTAATATTCAATAAAAACTTACTTTATAAAACTTAGTAGTAGTTCTTCTTCTTTGCTTTTGCTCATCTTCGTCTTGATCCGAAACAGGTTCGTCATTCTCGTCGATAGAAAAATCCGAATCGTAGACATCACTTTCTTCATCTTCTGTTTCATATGCATTATCACTTTCTACCTAAAAGAAGACATTTTTTTTAATCAAAACATTTTAAAGCATTGTAAATTTTTCTGAAAGTTAATATAAAGTAATATAATAATAATAATAAAGTAAATCAAATATTCAATCATTAAGTATGGTATAAATGATATTCACATATACCATAAATCCTCCAACAGACTGTGAGAACACAGACTTAATGAATGAATTTTTATCAAAATAATACAAGAAAATTTTGTCAATATAATGTTTTCAGCAGCAATATCTGTCAACTTGTTTACTTGAGAGTGTTTCTTATTACGTGTTCTTAGTGTCGAAAGAGATGCTTTCCTGCCATTCTAAAATGACAAACGAATGGCCGATTCAGAGAGTCGTCACCAGTTCCTCCAATGGTAAAACTTGCCACGAGTTCCCTGACAAGGATCGTCACCAGTTCTTAAACAGGATGAGTTAGCTCCATCTCCGTTGATAACAGAATACCCTCTTCTTCAATAATGGAATACCATCAACTCTAGCTATGGCTACGTCCTCAGCTCCAATTCAGAAAAATTCCTATTCCTGTAACAGATAAGTCCACACCTACCCATAGAACTGTTCCCGGTGTGCCCAGAACTCATGTGTGAACTCTTCTTAAAAGAAGATATGAACAATCATCTCGTCTAAAAACGGCTCTGTTCAATCTCTAGATATTTATGACAAAGCATGATTTAATGTAAACTCTGTCTCATGAAATGCTTCAGTGTCACACTAGTATTTAATATATATTTGTCTTGTTACTGATAGCATGTAGATCATATAACATATAATAAATGGGTATTTGTTTTGTTTAACTTGTCTAAGAGTGCTTTGCTTCTGTCACACTGTCTCATAGTGTCTCCTCCAACCCAAATCCAACTGCCTCGTAACCCTTGTAAACCAGTGCAGCCTCTGTGTGCATAGAACTGGATGCAGTGGTGTCATCCTGACAAGGGCATCAAAGAGGCGGAGACCCTGCAGTCACACAGACACTGGGTCTCCTATGAACACTGGCTATTTAGTTTAAACTACTAAATAAACACTGGGTTTCCAGTAGATGCCAAAATGTCATTAAATTCCTACACACAACTTAATATTGTTCTGTATATGCTGAGATAATTTTCCTGTGAAAACCCTTAAAAAATGTTTTTACTGTGTTATGGGGACAACTAAAGTATACAGTAAATAATACACAAGTGGATGCAGCTCCCTCTATTTTCTATTACAAACTCTCTATGTTACATAGATCAGTGAACTAGATGTTACTCTTAAAGCATGACACTCTTAAAGTTATCAAGAATAAGAATGAAACAAAGAGCCTGACAGGATTCCTCCAGTACTTAAATAATGATGTTAAATTATTTAATGCAAAATGTTTTTAACTATCTTAATGTGGCTTCTCGTATAAAATCAAAAAATTTTATAAAATTACAACTATAACCTTATATTTTGTGTAAGAAATTCATGTAACATAATCAGTCCCAATGAATAATAATCACTCATTTAACTTTAAGCTAACAAAACATTATTATATTTAAACAATCTGTATATTTATATATAAATGTATATAATTTTAAATTACTACAAAGAGCAACAATCATACAAAAAAAATTTTGTTTCAGTTTATTGTAACACCTTTGTGTTACAATAAACTGAAACAAAATTTTTTTTGTATGATTGTTGCTCTTTGTAGTAATTTAAAATTATATACATTTATATATAAATATACAGATTGTTTAAATATAATAATGTTTTGTTAGCTTAAAGTTAAATGAGTGATTATTATTCATTGGGACTGATTATGTTACATGAATTTCTTACACAAAATATAAGGTTATAGTTGTAATTTTATAAAATTTTTTGATTTTATACGAGAAGCCACATTAAGATAGTTAAAAACATTTTGCATTAAATAATTTAACATCATTATTTAAGTACTGGAGGAATCCTGTCAGGCTCTTTGTTTCATTCTTATTCTTGATAACTTTAAGAGTGTCATGCTTTAAGAGTAACATCTAGTTCACTGATCTATGTAACATAGAGAGTTTGTAATAAAAAATAGAGGGAGCTGCATCCACTTGTGTATTATTTACTGTATACTTTAGTTGTCCCCATAACACAGTAAAAACATTTTTTAAGGGTTTTCACAGGAAAATTATCTCAGCATATACAGNCTTTTCTTGTTATCATCATCCAGGGATTGTTCTGGAAAATTATTTTAAAAAATTGCCAACCATTTGCCAGTTTTAAATGTTTTTCACCACTTCAAATTATTTATTGCCACCAGTTTTACATACTAATTAATGTAGGTGCTGGTACTCTTATCAGTTTAAAATTTGGAAAGCAAAAGTAACATGTTAAGCTATCACTTAGAAATAGGAATCATTTTTTCAATAATTCCAAATAACATATTTGATCACAATCTTTAAATAGCATTTCACATGTTCTGTCATGTGAAAATTTTTATGTTTTAGTTTAGTTTACTGAAAAAAATCAAAGCAAAAAAAAATGTCACCCCAAAAAAGTCTCCAAATCTTCTGTCAGTTGATTAAAAAAAAAATCCCATCTGCAAACACTGGGCAGCAATGTATGAAAACTGCCTTCGGTTCTCAATGTCACTTCCTACTTTTCTACCCAAGCTTAAGATGTAACAACATAAAATTGCTAGGTGTCTGGTGCACGGGACTCCATGGCACGAAAGCTCGACATTCTGCTGTTTTTCCTGAATGTATTGTTTGCAATTCAATTTCATGCTGAACGTCAAAATAATGGACTAGGGTTTTTATCACTAGCATTATATTTTTATTATCACTTTAATAAAAATATCACCAAATGGCAATTCTGGAACTATGCATGACCCTTGATTATCTACTGATATTCATTCACTTCTTTAAATATGACAAAATTGATTGTTAATTTGTTCCATTTTATATGTGATTAATTTTTTAAAAATTTCAAAAGAATCATTCATTCTCTTTTGGGTGGGTGGTGTTGGTTATCAACCGACAACTACATTTATCAATTGGTTATGTTTGTCATATGATAATTGATACAATCCTATTAATAATTAAAATATAACAATATAGGCATCCCTCATATAATATGGTTTTGCTCTAACACAGTCAGATAACTGGGGAAATCCCCCATACAACACGATTTGAAATCCTCCATACAAAATTTCAGAACGTTTAAGTGCAACTCCTTTATTCCATAGTTTTTTCAAGTAAACGTGTATGTTATCTCAAATTTTCCCACAAATTTTAAATATAGAAATTTTCAATTTGTTTTGTGTTTTTCATCATATTTAATGAAAATTGATAGTGCAATTTTTTTCCTTCCTTGTCCTAGCTTTCCTATCAACCAGGCGTTGTTGCTTTCAGATTTTAGCCTTTAAGACTGTCACTGTGTTTTCTTTTTTATAATCTTCATGTTTAGTAAACTTTATTTTCACATTGTTAGGTAAGTGTTATTAACTTTTTTTAACCTTAGTTACGTAAGTAATCATTTGTAAAAACAACAAATGAAATACAGCGGTATCTTGGTACTTCCAACTCAAACAATTCGGTATTTGAACACAAATTCTGAAAAAATAAGCATTTGATTCTTGATTGAACAAATGTGATCCACTAGAAGAAATTTTTGATTAATAACATATATTTATTTTGTCACACATAAACAATTTTTATAATAATAATAATAAAGTAAATCAAATATTCAATCATTAAGTATGGTATAAATGATATTCACATATACCATAAATCCTCCAACAGACTGTGAGAACACAGACTTAATGAATGAATTTTTATCAAAATAATACAAGAAAATTTTGTCAATATAATGTTTTCAGCAGCAATATCTGTCAACTTGTTTACTTGAGAGTGTTTCTTATTACGTGTTCTTAGTGTCGAAAGAGATGCTTTCCTGCCATTCTAAAATGACAAACGAATGGCCGATTCAGAGAGTCGTCACCAGTTCCTCCAATGGTAAAACTTGCCACGAGTTCCCTGACAAGGATCGTCACCAGTTCTTAAACAGGATGAGTTAGCTCCATCTCCGTTGATAACAGAATACCCTCTTCTTCAATAATGGAATACCATCAACTCTAGCTATGGCTACGTCCTCAGCTCCAATTCAGAAAAATTCCTATTCCTGTAACAGATAAGTCCACACCTACCCATAGAACTGTTCCCGGTGTGCCCAGAACTCATGTGTGAACTCTTCTTAAAAGAAGATATGAACAATCATCTCGTCTAAAAACGGCTCTGTTCAATCTCTAGATATTTATGACAAAGCATGATTTAATGTAAACTCTGTCTCATGAAATGCTTCAGTGTCACACTAGTATTTAATATATATTTGTCTTGTTACTGATAGCATGTAGATCATATAACATATAATAAATGGGTATTTGTTTTGTTTAACTTGTCTAAGAGTGCTTTGCTTCTGTCACACTGTCTCATAGTGTCTCCTCCAACCCAAATCCAACTGCCTCGTAACCCTTGTAAACCAGTGCAGCCTCTGTGTGCATAGAACTGGATGCAGTGGTGTCATCCTGACAAGGGCATCAAAGAGGCGGAGACCCTGCAGTCACACAGACACTGGGTCTCCTATGAACACTGGCTATTTAGTTTAAACTACTAAATAAACACTGGGTTTCCAGTAGATGCCAAAATGTCATTAAATTCCTACACACAACTTAATATTGTTCTGTATATGCTGAGATAATTTTCCTGTGAAAACCCTTAAAAAATGTTTTTACTGTGTTATGGGGACAACTAAAGTATACAGTAAATAATACACAAGTGGATGCAGCTCCCTCTATTTTCTATTACAAACTCTCTATGTTACATAGATCAGTGAACTAGATGTTACTCTTAAAGCATGACACTCTTAAAGTTATCAAGAATAAGAATGAAACAAAGAGCCTGACAGGATTCCTCCAGTACTTAAATAATGATGTTAAATTATTTAATGCAAAATGTTTTTAACTATCTTAATGTGGCTTCTCGTATAAAATCAAAAAATTTTATAAAATTACAACTATAACCTTATATTTTGTGTAAGAAATTCATGTAACATAATCAGTCCCAATGAATAATAATCACTCATTTAACTTTAAGCTAACAAAACATTATTATATTTAAACAATCTGTATATTTATATATAAATGTATATAATTTTAAATTACTACAAAGAGCAACAATCATACAAAANAAAGAAATGGTGCCTAATGCCTCCCTCTAGTAACAAATTATTTAGTAATTAATTAAATACAATAGTGGAAAAGTAGCCCAATGTAATCTGGTAGTTGTTTAGTTTTGTCACCTTTGAAGTAGTCCCCTCCTATGTCTGTGTACGAAATTCAGTATTTCTTTCAATGAAAAGAATGCTTCCTGAAACACTTCTTTTGGGACGATGCACAGCTCCTCTAGCAAATTTTCCTTAATGGGTTTAAAACAATAACATTTGAGAGCAAATTTTAATTTGGGAAACAAAAAGAAGACTGCTGGGGTTTAGTCTGTTTTTTTAGAGGTTGAAGAACAAGGTGTCGAGTTATTGGCCAAAAACCCTTTTATCAGCAGTGTTGTGTGGACATGAGCATTGTCACACTGCTATTCTCTCCAAGCAGTTGGTCTTTTCTACCTGATTGCTTCACGAAGATGTTTCATTACCTCCAGATGGTATTTCTTATTTACTGCCTTCCCTTCTGGAAGAAATTCCTGTTGAATGACACTATCAAAATCGAATGAAACAGTGAGCAAGACCTCCACATTCAACCGAAATTGTTGTGCCTTTTTTGGGTTATGGTAAAGATTTTCCCACCCACTATGATGACTGACATTTTGTTTCCATATTGTACCCATAGAGCCAATGTTTCATCCCCGGTGACAATGTTTTTCATGAAATTATCAGACCTAGCCCATCCCAGAACTCTTCACTCAACTACAATCACGAAAAGAAAATCATAAAATGCAAACAACACATTTACACATATGAACGTAACATAACAAATGAAGATAGAACAAACTGCTTTTGGAAGATAGTACAAAAAAACTTGCTGGTAGAGAGCTGTGTAAGATGCATTTAGATTCAATTATCAGTTGGTGCATAATTTAAAAACTTCGCAAACATTCCGGATAGACCTCATATATCATGTTCTTACATCATAAAATCCACCATATGTTGTTTTATAAAATTCGTCTTCCTCCTCTTCGTCCAGCAACCGCGCCATACGACTTCCGGCATTTACTCGTTTATCTCGATCTGCAGCCATTATATTTTACAGGAAAACACGTGAAAGTAATCTGTTTAAAAATAAATGTAGAAAATATATAAATAATAAAATTTCAAATATATTATTTTCATATTGTATGAAAAATGTCTTAAGTACATTTGTATTATATTCCTTGCTTATTATGTTGTAGAAAACATAGTCATTCTACACTTGTATAGTCAGTTTAAGACTCAGCAGTTCTCCATTTTTATGACTAAGCATTTTGAACTCCTGTCCCTCATCAGTTATCACTTATAAGAAGCTGCAAATAATTGGAATATTATTATTCTTATTCTAATGATACAACATCCTATCATCTAATCAGTGATGAGAATTCAAATCATAAACATATCTTCAAAATATAAAAGATTACTCAAAATTTATTACAACCTTCTAATTTTATATATTTTTAAATCTTTAAAACGATTTGGATATAATTATTTTTCAGCCTTGAAACAAAATAGGGACTATTGTGTTCAAGGCTTAAAATGTAGGAAAAGGGAGAAACTCATTGGAAAAAAATTAGAATAATTACGATAATTTTAAAAATAGCCAAAATCATTACTTATAGAAAAATGTTTAGTAAAATATCATGACAAAAGCAGTCTACATTATACAGGCATACCCCAGGTTACATACCAAATGCATTCTATCAAATATTGGTTGTCTCATGAATTGTCATTTCCCATACATTTACACACATTTTTTTTAATTCATGTCTTAAATTGAATTTTAAATAAATGCATATATAGAACACAACTAAAAACTTAGATGTAACTTGTATATATACATATATATGTGTGTGTATTTCATAATAGAATTACATAACTTTGCATATTTATAGAAGACACAGTTACACATTTTATTTACATGGCAATTTTAAAAACATCTAACTTTAACTGGACAGCCACACAGCTGCTTTCTTTTCTTCATCGCTTAATGTTTTATAGGATGTCATTTCTCATTCAATTTCTCATCTTACTGTGGTTCTCCTATGTTTGTCAGAATCATCATCATCTAATAATTGAAAAAAAAAAAAATTTTCTTTTTCTTCAAAATTACTCAAGCCCTTTAATTTCCAATGTTTTGGCTAGTGTTGAATCGGGCGTTGTATCGTTGTTGTGTCTTTAACAGTCATCCTTAGATTATTATCTTCATGCAGTATCTCTATCAATTCTGCATTTGCTAATTCCTCCTTGTGGGTTTCAATTAGCTGTTAAATATCTACCACATCAATTCCCAAGTTTAGTCTCCTCCCCAGCTGAACAACTTGATTAGTTATGATATCAGAAGTTTCAATATTATCTACATTATGTTTTATAAATTGCGACATCAGCATCCACAATTGTCCATTACTCTTATATTGTATAAAGTAAGCTTATACTGTAAGCTTATACTCTTATATTGTATTGTATTGTATTGTATTGTATTATTAAAAAATATTTAATTATTGACAATTTGCCAAATTTTCTTAAAACCCAGACTTTTCTGGTATTAGATAGGTGGCACCCCTTGGAATGAACAAAGCACCGTATCAGTGGAGATAGCCGCCGAGTCAGATCATGGCAGGGGTACAAATATATGACGGTTGTATCTGCGGTTTGTTTTATCCTGAGATGGTCGTAACCTGTATTTGATATTCACACAGCATATTTATTTGACAAAATATCTTCTCATTAACAAGTAAAGAAAAGATAGAGTTAACTTAGTATATATGTTACCGCTAAAGCTCGAGAGTTGTTAATGTGTATATTACCTAGTTAATTAGGAGATTAGCTAGGGTAATCCATTAATGTGCGGAATCGAGAGCTTTCCGCATTTTACGTAGGGAATCTGCAAATTAACGGCTTCCGTATCGTTAAAGTTCAAAAGTTTGTTTCTCTCATTTCATTTCCCTACTACTTCCCAAACAAGACAGAGCAAAACCTGATACACGCTCAATTTTAGCTGTGGTTCTTAGTAAAACAGATGATGGCTTTTATAAACTTGGTACTAAAATAGGTATTTTAAAACAATTGTATGCAAAATCTGAATTTAGTGTTTGCGAAGAGATATTTTCAACAAAAGAAGATGTCCCTGCTAAAGAAATATGTTTATGTCAAATAGCAATAAAACAATCCCTTGGTAGTGGGCAGGGTTTCAGAAATGTGACTGCAAATCTATGTGTACCACAAATAGGTGTGCTTGTCGTGAAAACCAATTGCTACATAATTCAAAGTGTCACTAATTTTTAGATTGCACTAATAAGTAAGCACAAGTTTATCATATGTTTTGCAAATTCATTTCCCTAATTATAATAATATTTTAAACCGTTTGATTTTTTGTATTACAGTTTTTTAATTGATTGATGATTGATTCTATCAACTAATTTGTCGATTGTTTGATTGTATTAACTTGATTCTTTAGATATCGAAAATTAATTAAATAACATTATGTTAATTTAAGCGTACAAAAAACACTGCTGTTGTTCCAGCAAAGATCTTATTTTCAGTTTACTGAGTGACTAATAGGTAATGTGTAGATTACCTAGATCATCTGCACATTACCTAGGTAATTTGAGAAATGGAACAATCTTCGAAATTTTAACGGATCACCCTAGTTAATCTGGAGATTAGCTGGGTAATGTACACATTAACGGCTTTCCAGCTTTAGTGGTAACATATACAGTAAAACCCGATTATCCAAGCCCTGATTAAACAAAGTTCTTCATTATTCAAAGAGAACCTGTAAATGAATATGCTACTTTCCTTATACAAATCAATATCGGGCTATTGTATAGCCCGATATAATCCAATAGTTGTTGCCCACTCTTCTTATAATGCATAAAAACTTTGTCATAAATGCACTAAGTGTTTAAATGCTGTTGAAGTTTTAATTTTAACTGTACGGTAAATGATGATGCTGAAGTAACTAGAACATTGCAGCAAACAAGAGAGGAACTATTATAAAACAAAATCTCTAAATAACTTTAGAAAGTTTAAAACAATAACACATATTATAAAATAATTTGTTACTGTTACTTTTTATCATTTAACTTCAATGTACACTACATTATTATGTTACATTCATATTAAATGTAACTTATAATAATACACATTTTTATTCTTTAAATTATTGTATTTATTGGTTATATAACAAATGTAAAAAAATTATATTCTTATATATGATTAAATTAGTAAGACAAAGATATAGGATATGTAGAAAAAATTGATCCTGTATTATCACAGTTAAAGACAAAATGTAATACAATGTTTCAAAAAACAAGAGACATCATACTTTCCTACTAAAAAGAAGAAAAAGTAGCAAAAGTGAGATGAATACAAGTCCCGTAATTATTAAAATAAAGTGCATTGATTTATTTTTAAAAAACATATGGACTAAATGTCTTAAACAACTAAACTACTTTTTAATTTTGACTTTTTCCTTTCTGCAAATACTATAAAAATCATTTTACCACATCTACTGCGGGTTTGGCCAGTTCACTACGAGCAGCCAAGAATAATTTATAAAGTCAGCAACTTAAATAAGTTACCAACAAGTCAATCATAAAGCACTAAGTCAGTTCAATGCGCATACTATATTCAGACATTTCAAATGAAACGCTAACAAAATTCACAAAGAAACGAGTCAGTTTACATCACGAAGAAAATGGCATCTGGCAATATCGATATTTCTAAATTCACTCGAATTTGTAAATTGAATTTTAAAAGCCAAACGACACAAATAAACACCTGGGTAAAAAACTCCAATAAAAATATTTCGGATAAGACCACACTAGCAATAGTATAACTCTAATTTTTGAAATAATCATTTTGTAGTAAACAAATCAAACAGTCCATCAAAAGTACAAATAACAAAGATGTCATTCTCACTTAACT